ACCTGTACTAAGTGACCCGACAGTAAAGAATAAATATAGTTTAGCTAGTTCCAGAGTAGATAAACTAGCTAAGTGTGTTAGGTCTAACTCTTAGTGTATTTTTGCTCGGCTCAACGGTCCGTCACAGCGGCGGAGCTGTGATAATGCAGAGCTGCGTGTTCTCCGTCAGCAGCAGCTGATCTGCTCTCTGATCTCTCTCTCGCGTCCGGTTTTACTTCACTCACGTCTATGTCCAAATCTATCAGATCTAGCTAGTTCTACAGTAGTTAATTATATGACTGCCTGCTTATCAAAGGACACGACACAAGGCATATGTTTATATGAGGGGTCAAATTCCCATGCTCATAAAATGCTTATATATTTTTTTCTCTTCATTCCCATAGCCCCAACATAAATAAATATACTAATATACCAATTTTAGGAAAAGTAACGAAGTTTGAGCAGTGTGGGTTTTATATTAACAGAGTTACACATATCTCAAAACGCAAAGTGTAATAACTGCAGTTTGCCTCCCTGTCATCGAGAATGACAAAGATCCTCAGTGAAGCACAAGCCCATGTTTCTCACTAAATTGTAAGTACAACTTATTAAAAAGATCAGTTCAATGCAACTAATGTCGTCTTAGTGTTATTGCATGATGTTAAAATTGGTTTGCCATGAATTTAGTGATGGATTGTAAAGATTTGAAATGTAGCATTTAAGTGCTTCTCAGTTAGAAGGTTGTTGTTTTAATAAATCAGACACTGATGGTGCAGCGCTGTACTGTAAGTTTGAGAACCACTGACCTAGACGGTGTACGGCAAAACCCTTGGCCTGCTTGCACCTCGCGTAAAACGGCGGATATCGGAAGTACGTTGTCGCCCTCGGCCCAATACCCGTATGTGTGTGTGAAAGAATAGAACATCACCTCCCATCTTCAGAACAATCTGACTATTATAACTATACTATTATGTTAAGAAAGCTTAATTAAATATCTGCCACAACATAAGTAACCGGATCAAAGTAACATTACGTTGCCTACAGTCCGCGGCACTGTGAGTGCAGACGTCGATGTGTTCCATTATCATTCATATCACATCATAATGTATCATATATTTCCTTATCTGAGTCAGCTGAGCCGTATCTGGCTGTGCAACACTCAGTGTCACATACTGTATGCAGAAGTATTATTTTAAGCAACACATTAAGTTGACGAAACACTCGAGTCAAATGTAATTAAAGTCAGATCCACTCGTGTCTTGGACGGCCGTGGCAGTGATATCATAAACCTGTTAACGTACGCATTCAAACACTTGTTCTTTTACCAGCTGTATTCACCTTGCAGGTGCAGCTATGTGGCTTTGATCCTGGATAAAGTGTTTAAGTCATGGATGGTTAAAGTTTAACTTCTTCATATTTGACTAATATTATAGTTGACTTTTCATTCAGGAAGTATGACGCTGCGCTGTCAGTACGCTTCTCCATGTTTGTGATTGGTCGAATGCTCCAGATACCACCCCTTTTATGTGAACGCGCACCTCACTAGATAGGACACGGCTGGCTTGAGCGAACAAGTTGATAGCCAGCGTTGTAGGACAGTTTAGCGAGAGCGGCTTCGTCAACCGGATAACTCAAAACATATCCTGGATAGGTTGAACTAGATTCGTATTATACCCCCCTGGTCCCGACGAGGTTAGACGCACAGCATAAGTTACCATGGAGATCTAGCCTGTTAAAAAGAGAACCAGCTTCGTAGGACTGGAAACCCCGAGTTTTTCCTGAAGTTAGCCGGCTAAGCGAAAATCCTGCTTCGTAGTATACCCCCCAGGAGGGTTAACTCAGCCTCTAAAAAGAGAAGCGCGCCGTGCCTTTCACGCACTGCCTTCACTGTGTTTACCTTCAGAATGGCTAAAGAGCGGTGTGTGGCTGATGTGTTTTAACCAGAGATGTTCACAAGTCTTTTTTTGCAAGTCCAAGTCAAGTCTCAAGTCTTTGTGAGGTGAGACTTGATCAAGTCTCAAGTCTTTGGTCACGAGTCCAAGTCAAGTCTCAAGTCTCTAAAAAATAAAAGTCTCATGTCTCTTCTGGTTGTAATAAGCCTTCTATTGTCTGCTGCTATCCAGTCTGTTAAGAATACTGCACAGCTATATCTAAGAAATTCAAAGCATTTACTGTATTATTACCACTCCTATATCTATTAGCATAGTATCTGTCACGGCTGCTGCTGCTGTCTGCTCGTTAACCTGTCTAGGATTGTTTTCAGCTGTGTATGTAATATGTATATGAGATGCGCCGTTGCCCGGACGCCATTAGATGCCAGTTTCCTGTCCCTCCTCCGGTAGGCGTGACCGAAGATCTGGATTGGAGCAGGTCGGGCCCGACTCCCCAATCCCTGCCCACACCTTCCGGGGACTCTTACAAGAGTGTGTGCATCTCAATTAGACAGGAGAGGTCTGAATCTGTGTCAGACGTCTCTCGGTGCTCTCCTTATGTTCTGTGTAGCTTTGTGTTATAGTGGTTAGTTAGGATGTGTGTTTTGTGTGTATTCTGTGAGTTGTGACGGCGTCGAACTTGTGCGAGGCGCCTCTCTATTTTAGCCGTAAGTGCCCATGACTGTGATAATCTGTGGCCTTCGTTTTGTGTTGCAATATTTTGAACAGATAGCTGGTTTTAAGAGCCTGTATTTTTTGTTATATCTTTATTTTGAGTTTATTATTAAAATCAACCTCTTACCAAGAACACCTGGTCTCGTGTTGCTTCCCTTTTGCCCTAAGCGAGCTGGGACGTAACAGTATCATTACTGATTAGTTGTTTGTTATATGATCACTTTAAACAGGCAATTGCAATGCAATATGAGGAAAAACATCACAGTTTAGCTAAATGCAAACAACTTATAAGCAAAACACTTCACAATCAGAAATCAGTATCACAAATACTTTATTAATCCCCCGCAGGGAAACTGTGTTAAAAGTACTTAAAAGTAAACATTTGTTCTGTGCCATTTGCAACTAAAAAACTATTGCTGCAATATTATCTGAAATATACTGAACTGGTGATATTAAAACATGACCTGTTCCAAAAGAGATATCTACCATTAACACCATTTACCAGCCAAATGCTGGTAAATCATGGAAGTGGCTGGTACTGTATGTTGCACGCACCAGCCAAAAATAACAATGGCAATCTATTGAGTGGCTGGTAAAATGTCAACATTCACTAGGCTAGCCATTTGGCCAGTGGGCAAAACTGTTCAAATGTGACCTCTGCAACCGTATTGTTTAATTACACTGGGTCTCTTATGACATATTTTTAGTCTACTATAAATAAACATATTCCTCTATCCTCTCACTCAAACCCAGTGTAATGGTAACCTGATAAACCTGTAACATTAACGTTAGGTGGTCAACAATAAACCTGTAACCTGCCTATAAACCGACAGATGTATTTATGTTTGTAACTATGTATTTTTCTACGTTTAACGTTAGCCAGTGGCAGCGGAACGTAATGATTAACGTTACCGACCTTTTTTATGTCATTTCAAGAGTTGGATGTCAACGCCACTCAACGCAAACAAGTGTGACAAGCAAACATTCACTCATCTTTTCAAATATTCAGTTACAAAGCTAGCAAGCTAAGTTAACATTACATAGCTGATGCTGAGCTAAACATGTTTGCTAACCGTCCATATGCGTTAATGTGACTGACCTCTCCGGGTGAGTTTTCAAATGCCTGATGAAATGTGACGTTGTTGCACCAGCATCCTTGATTTTAATATTGCAGACTTTGCAGTGTGCGCTCCTTTTGTTGGTGCCGCCGGCGTTTTGTTCGAAGTTTTTATAGTTGAACCTAATTACAAGCGGTACAGCTGCAGGTGTGCCGCCGGTCACCATGGTGTTACCATGATGTTAATGTTAAAGGTGGGGTAGGTAAATTTGAGAAACCGGCTCGAGATACACTTTTTGTTATATTCCATGGAATGCTCTTAACATCCCGATAGCCGGCCCGGCTAAAGTAACTGGATGGCCTACCTGCCTGTCAGCCTCCCATCGGGGCACAAACTTATCTCGTGCCCTCATTGGTCATGTGCGCGTTCGTGTGTGTTGGAGGAGGGGCTCTGTGAGGAAGTGGCAGATTTTCTCCGGTTGTGTATTTTCAAATTCTAGCGATCTCGAGACGGTTTCTCAAACTTACCTACCCCACCTTTAATACGCCAAAAATAGAAAACACAATGATTGTTCACGAGTCCCAAAACACGAGTCCAAGTCGAGTCCGAAGTCTTTTGAGCAGGAGTCCAAGTCAAGTCTGAAGTCTGTGTGTGCGACGGACTTAAGTGCGACTCGAGTCCGAGTCACAGACTCGAGTCCGAGTCACAGACTCGAGTCCCCATCTCTGGTTTTAACCACACACACCTCTACAAACACACACGATTTAAACGCAGACTTTTGTTCCTCCATGTTTCGTTGTTATCGTTTCACTGAGCGGACCCGCGCATATTTTTCAAACGCTCCCTTTTTTGGTCCATCTTCGGCAGTAATAGGTTTTGTGCGCTGTGATGATTCGGCTGTACCTTTAGTAATGCATATTAAATGTTGAGGAAATCTTTCCACCAATAATTCCAATAAGTAATCCAAAATGAATTCACTTCCGGTTTACGAAAGTAACTAATCAGATTACTCGTTTTTCAAATGTAACGCGAGCTGAATACAGTTACTTGATTTTTGTATTCTGATTACGTAACGCCGTTACATGTATTCCGTTACAACCCAACCCTGTGTGTACGCAATTATGGGAGGAAGGGGGAAAAAGTATTAATAATGGAATATAAATCTCCTCTGTAATATGCATATTTTTCTTAATAATGAAAATGTTTCCACGCAAATCATGTTTTGCTAATTATTTGGCAGCAAATATTGAATTTACATTTACACCAGACATAATTAAACACATAAGCCACATGTAAAGACATGTTGCTGTGTGTTCATCAAAGGTAACACTCATAATGACCAAAAACAACCTCATTATTCATATTATAATCAATCTTTATTCTGATATACCTTTGAATGGACATAATCAAAATAAATCATAATTTAGCGGGTAAACAGAAATATTGTTGTCATATTTTTCAAGACAAGCTTTCAAAAGTTTGAAAGTTACAGATTTGAAAAGCTGTAGACCACACTTGCACAAATAAGGACTTGATTAATCATAAACTAATGCTGGAGCGTCCTCCATGCCTACTGAGTACACTCTTAATTAATGGCAAATCTGACAGCATGCCAGGAGGATGAAATCTTCCATGACTTTCTCTGCTCCTTCAAAGTCATTTTTCCCCTACCAAGAAGAAAGAACAAACTATTTTGGATTTTTTAAAAAAAACCTTAGTTCCATATTTTAAAAGAAATAGTTAGGACCAACCAATTCACTTAAGTTTTTGTAGGATTTCTAATCATTAAAATATATGATCCATTTAACAGAAATAGATAAAGCAATACACTTCAATGCAAAGCTCAGAAGCCTACCAGAAAGACTAAGGCGCAGTCTTTGATGGTTGTTATTTGCATCTTATAATAATTTCAGATATGTTACAAATGCAGCATGAAACTGCTGGGAAACAGTCAATAGAGCTTTGGATTTAAGTAGTGGCAACATTTAAGATGAATAGGGTGCATTTTGATATTCTTTTTATCCTTTAGTCATGTAAACAGTTAAACAAGTATGTGCAACTCACTTCAAATATCTATATCCAAATAATTACACCATGATATACATTTCAGATTGGTCCTAAGTGAAAAAATAACCACAACACGTTTCAAACAAATTGCAAAAATGATACAAATATAGGACGCAGAGAATTGCACTTGAACGTGAAGAGCTTCTGAAACACTTTGTCCCTAGACAAGCAGAAATAAAGCTCTATGAATTTGTCAATTTGGCCCCTGGAGAGGACAAGCAGCTGCAGCTGAAGCGGTCATGACCTTTTACAATTCAGAGCCTTTGGCTGGGATACAGGCATATCTTCAATGTGTGAATCTCAAACGACTGTGCAAATGATTCACAGACAGAAGCCCAAACAAAAAAGCAGAGAATGCACAGAAAAAAAGGAAACAACTGAAATACGGTCAGTCAGCTCTGGCTGTAGTGAGCAGAAAGAGCTGCTGTCTATGAACATTAGCATAATGTGGCCAATCCTGTAAATATGCTACAAATGCGTTATATTTGACAGACATTTGTAAGCTATGTTTAACTCATATCTTTATTTATCCCAGGTCGAAAAAATATCCCTTTTGTCCTTTTTATTTTACACAAATTACACCCTGAGATTTGATCAAAGAAAATGTGCACAAACGTCCACTAGCTCATATGTTACACTATCAACACAAGCCTCAAAAATGCAATAATCACACGACTATTGAAACGGATCCTGAAGTACAAAACGCTGCACTTATACGAGAGCGAAACATCCTACATATTGACGGACATAAGCAAACAGTACATCAACCCATCGCACACTGAAGAGCACAGCACATTTTTTAGAAGAGGATGCAGAATATTTCCCTGCAGCAGCACTTCTAATTTACTTTCCCTTTACAGACCTCAGTACTGCTAATAGTGTACTGTGCTGCTGTCGGAGGAATGAGAGAGGTGAGTGTGGCAGTACAGCATATTCTCTTTTGTATTATTGCAAATATATAATACCAATATTTAAAATGTCATTCTCTTCATCAAATGCATCTGACCTCCTCAATTCAGATTATCTCTGAAATCAAATGATATCTTCAATGGACATCACTGTCCTCTCTCGCTGTTTGACCGGTTCCACTTCAACTTGAAAGCTATTGTTTCTCACAATAAGTTGGCATTTACAGAAAAACACTAATGTTGCCGAAGAACACTGAATCCACACGACACTTTTACAGTTTGTTTCACTAATGCATTAAATAGTTATCTTAATAAAGAAAAATATATTATCCAGAGTGAGACTCGGTCAGTCCTTTGTCATAGAGTTAAAGGTCAGCACAACATCAGAGAGAACTCTTCTGGTCATTTTGCTAAATGTCCCTTACACAATAAAAAATGATATAGTATGTGATCCATGGCATATAGGGTTGGAAAATATGTCAGACTAAACTTCCATGAAATCCGAAGAAACTGAGGCTACATAAGGGAACGAATTTCATCACAGAGGTTAGAAATGCATAATCAGATTGGAGGAACCTCAGTCGACAAGGCTATTCTGCAGAAAGGCCTGACATGGAACTTCTCTGAGTGGTGGTCAGTGGACTGCACTGAGTGGGGTACAGTGGACTGCACTGAGTGGGGTCAGTGGACTGCACTGAGTGGGGTCAGTGGACTGCACTGAGTGGGGTACAGTGGACTGCACTGAGTGGGGTCAGTGGACTGCACTGAGTGGGGTACAGTGGACTGCACTGAGTGGGGTCAGTGGACTGCACTGAGTGGGGTCAGTGGACTGCACTGAGTGGGGTACAGTGGACTGCACTGAGTGGGGTCAGTGGACTGCACTGAGTGGGGTCAGTGGACTGCACTGAGAGGGGTCAGTGGACTGCACTGAGAGGGGTACAGTGGACTGCACTGAGTGGGGTACAGTGGACTGCACTGAGTGGGGTACAGTGGACTGCACTGAGAGGGGTCAGTGGACTGCACTGAGTGGGGTACAGTGGACTGCACTGAGAGGGGTCAGTGGACTGCACTGAGTGGGGTACAGTGGACTGTAACACCAGTGGTTTACGCAGATTGCAGATTAGCCATATTCAAGCAACACACACGTTGAACAGCAGATTTTTAAATCTGTGGTCTTCTCTTCATTTATAATACCACTTTAAGAGTAATTGCTGTTTCCATCGCCCTATCCAAAGTGGAGAAACAAGATTCATGGTGACGCCTGGTTTAGAATCGATAGTATCAAATCATTTTATGTTTCCTTTCACTTATTCCCCTTTAGCTTCAGCTGGGCAACCCTAGCTTGTCCCAGTTTAGTTTGCAGGTCAACAGGCCTTTCGAAGAAGCTCACGATGGTCGGCTCGTTGAGCAGAGAAGCCAGGACCTGCTCGAAGGAAAAGGACCAATCGGTCTCCGCCTCCTGACTGATGGTGGAGCTGCAGGGGTCCGACCTCTCCAAAGTGCTGGAAGCTTCTTCTGTTGGAGGCTCCGCAGCAGCAGCGGCAGCAGGCTGGGTGGACGTGGGGGGGCTGCTGGGCTCCTGCAGCCTTCGGCCCACCTCCTCCATCCTCAGCAGGAGGCTGGTCACATGGGCCACGGCTCTGTACAGAGGCTCCTCTTCCGGATCGCCATGGAAGATGTTGTACAGGGTCTTGGAGAAGTGGATGAACTGAGACTGAGATATAAAAAAAACATCATCAGATGATTTGCCGTATCACAAGTCAGGACCTTTTTTATTGAGAAAATGTTGCACTTCAGTCAATACAACACAACATGGTTTGGAGTACCTGGTTAATCCGGGGTAGGTCTTTGATGGTTTCCTCCTTCTTAAGAATTTCATTTTGCCATTGCTTCAAGTATGCCTGCAGGTCCACTTTTCCTCTACCTGTCGTCGTCACACACAAACTCTACACTATCAGACAAAACTAAGACCGTTCTTTGTATAGTTATGGAGTATTTGTGATAATTTAAGGAACAATACCTCTTTCGGGAGTTTTCCTTATCACACCATCTTCAGGTAGATCAAATGCTGAAAAAGAGAAGTCGCATGTGAACACAATGTATAAAGAAATGCTTAAAGAACCTTTAGAAATATTCAAGGAAATGGAGCATGCATCAAGACACAATTGTGAAAATCAGGAGGAAATGGGGAAATTTGAGTTTGAAAGGAGAAGAAAGAGTAAAGAGGCTAACCAGCGAGTCTAATCAAGTGAGAAGAGTCTTCAGTCACTGGAATTAAGTGCTGGATGCTTTGATCCTTTAAGTGCAAAGGACTACCTGTGAAAGCTAGAGAGAAGACACCGACAGTGAGTGTTTTTAGAGGAAAGATGAAGAGACACTAAGATGACAGAGGATACACGTGAGCAAAGTAGATGTATTGAAACAAGATGTTGAAAGAGTTACCCAATCATTTAGTTACAGTGTAATGCAATCCCACCTTAGACTCTTGAAAAAGATTATATTTTTGTGAAGCTTACAAAGTCAACTCTAAATTGAAATGTGTTTAAAAACACAAAATGCTATTTTCTGACACTAGGGGTCTCTCTTTCAAAACATTATACGATTTTGAATCATTATACTGAAAGTACGGTTCATTAAATGCAATACTGAAGTATTTTCATTTCTCAGTTTCTACTATAATTTGAGAGGTTCTATACTCCTATGCTCCAACCCCCACCGGTGACTGTGTGTGTGTTCATGCATGCTTGTTCATTTTCATTGCTTGATTACACAATTATCCTCACAGGCCAGCAGTGTCATTATATGTGCCCGATAGCTTTGTGTTGCACAGCCTGAAGATTGTCATGTTGGTTACTTGTCGTGTGTGTGTGTGTGACATTAAAATGTGTTGCTGCTAAACCTGTTAAACCCCAAGCCTGTTTTTCAGGTTTCAGGCTCGAAAATGACATTCCCAGAACAAATGACCATATCTTCCCTTCTGAAAGGGTTCAATTAATAATCTTTTTTCTCAAAGTAATGATAAACCTGTGAGTTGGATGTAGAAAAGTCAGAATAAATATAGATGTTTTTTATTTTAAAGAAAATTCAGATTGAACATGGTAAAAAACTGTAAATTATAGTGTCCGTCCAAAGAATATGTTGTACTTATAGTGAAAACTAACCTTGGATGATGGGTTAGTAGACTAAAAGCTTTAGGAATCCAAAGTACAACATATAATAAGTACCCTGTATCAAGATTGATGCAAAACAAGTGATATTTGACCTTTTTAGACAGATTTAGCAAAAAGAACCTTCTGGGGCCATTTGGGTGGATTTTCCATATCTCTGGCCCCCCTTGGTCGATTTTGACATGTGACATCTCTTTCTGACCGTTAGAGCCAATAGAATCCAAGGGAAATCGTCCCGCACACACTCATGTTAAAAAAAAATGGTGGCCTCTCTGCGCATTCTAGCTTTCAGCAGAGGGGAGAAATATCGCTGCTCTGATATCAAGCAACGGAAAAGCTGTTTTATTGCTTATGGATTATCAGAACATTTCAAAGGGGACGCATGGATTAACAACACCATCGTTTTTTATCGTTTTAATGCCATTGAAGACCAGTTTAGACCAGACAAAGACGAAGGTAAGCCATGTTAGCGTTGTGGGCTACCTAGAGCCACTTGTTTTGATGTATGTTTTTGTTGATAACGTCGCAAGTTTGTATCTTTCAGTGTTGAGGTGGGCACCGTTAGATTCTGTGTCTCCTTGCGATCATAAACGATGTGTTGGATGTGCACCTAGGATAAGTAATAAGGGAGCTAGGAGTGATTATCGGTGCAGTAATAGGTTAGCATTTTTCGCTCAGGGTTCATTTAGATGCTTCTTATGAGACTTGTGTTTTGTTTTGGTAAAAATGGTTTGTATCGTCAGTTAGCTGAGATTATTCCCGTTAATCTGGTATAACACATTAATAGGTTCTTAAATATTAAGATCCCCGGAGACACAGTGTCGTGAGAAAAAAAAACAAGGGTACCCGCCGGCGGTGACCTTGGGGCTTAACAGGTTTTTAAGAACCCAAACAGAATGAATTAGCTGTGGAGATTTTTCCTCACTTGAAAGATCTGGGCTTTATTTATTTATATATATATATATATATATATATATATATACACAAATATATAGTTTTTGCCATATTTGATCATATCCTTGCTCCACCGATGTACGACAGCTATACGTTAAAGGTACAGCCAGACATTTTGAGACGGATGATGTCTCTGCTCTCTGACTGGCGCTGATAAGTGAATACAGCTGCTGGATTTAGTGTTTGGCTTACAAAACCTGCCGCCTTTCAGCTCTAAATAGCCCATGGTTTCATGTCCTTGATCAATGGAGCGTTTGGCCCAGTTTCAGGGCTCAGGACGGTCCCACTGAGGAATGTGTGAGTGTTTTAGGTCGCTGTGTTTTCTACCTTTGAGCTCGCTCTGTACAATTACAGTCCACAACAATGCTTGAGGTAAAATCCCACAATGCATAGCTTTGGGACATCAACAATGGTGATGAGATGACAGACAATTTTTTCATTGTAAAACAAGAATAACTTAAAAGTAGTCAGTGTTGTACATTTTACATCCGTCTGTGCAAAACATCATCCCTTTTGGACAGAGATCTATTTGACTTTTGTTTGAATAATCATAACTAGCATTTGAATTATTAAGTGGTGGCCATCAACGTGTTAGGTCAATTTGGACGTTTGTACAAAAAACATAACTAAACAAAGCATTGAGCATGTGGCAGCCACGTGGCATCCAATGTGTTCATTTTGTCTGACATAACTCTTTTACTTGTACATAAGAAGCAAACAACAACAAACGGTCCATAGCATTGATCTCCATATTGAAATACTAGCCCGCACTGTGCATATAAATATCACTGTCACAAAGTGTCGTCCAAATTTCACACATCGTTTGGAGCCCTCACACCCTCCTCAGACACAGTGATGTCACAGGTGACGTTGGTAGTGTCTGAGGGTTCAGTGCTGAGGATCTGTCCTTGGTGCTGAAGCGGTGTGCCCTCTCTCTCTCTCTCTCTGTGTGTGTGAGACATAGACAACATGTTTTGCTGCTTATCGTTCAGCGGCCTGGCTGGCACATCACAGACAGTGAGTCAGTGCTCCTCTGCTGCTCAGCTGTCAGTTGTAATCTGAGCAGTTCCTCCTCATCAACAGACTCTCTGTGGAGAAACGAGCCCTTTGCAAAATGCCCTCACAGCGCCTTACACATGTCGTTGCCATGGCAAAGCACTTTCACCCAACATGGACTATTCTTACCGCTGCCTTCAGGCACATGCTGCTGCAACATCATGCAGACAAGAGCCACACATTCAAGGACAGTTTCCACCCCCAGGCAATATGCTCACTCAACAAATGCTGAGTCATGGACGCATGGACGACTGCTACATTCTAAAGCTCTGCAGATCAAAGCCTCATGTTGATCTGACCTTGTGTTTTACTTTAGGCTGCTTCTGACGCCTGCTCATGAGTTATTGCTGTCATGTAAGACAGAATCTATAGAATGATAACGATCCAGTCCTGTGACGTTTGATGCAATTTAACTTTGAACCTGCTGGAGTGTATCATCTCTGTAGACTAGATATGTCATAAGAGAAATGAGTCAGAGGGTGAAGCTGAAGCTGTGCAAACAAATATATTTGTAGTTTACAAGACGTAGACAAATCACTGAGACACCACCATGGGTCAGAGTTGTCAACATGTCACATGATAAATGTTTATCTTTTAAAATATTTGCCGCTGTTGGTAGCGATGCCCTAATACTGACTCAAATAGCTGCAATATGCCCAACTTTTTCAATTTATGTCTGTGTTTATGTACTATACAAATAACTAAATTATTGTTTACATTTGGAGCAACTTGTTGCTGCATTAAAAAGGTTTACACTTAAGTTGTAATTCTGATTTTTTACCAAGTTGCTGGTGTTCAATTTATTTTTTCAATGCATATCTATGCCTTTAATTATTGAAAAGCTTTAGAGAGTTAGGAGAGCTTAATAGAGCAATAGAGAAACACACAAGCTACCTGAGGCTGCAAACTGTCTAGTTCTTTTCATTATTTTTTATAAACAACTTTTTAGAATTGCTTTATTGTTGTTTTATTTTACTACTTCCTGTTTGTTATATAATGTGTTATGTTCAGGGGTGCACATAACTTTCTTATTGAGTTACTCAAATGAGTACCAGGAGATAATGTTTGGTACTCAGGGCTGCCCACGCAAAGTTCTGTGTTCAGCCCCTCTGTTTCGCGAACGTCGACGGGGGGTATTGAACGTGGGGGGGGGTGGAGGTGGGCGCTGGTGGAGCACACGCATGGAACTCGCACCGGAAGTTGTGGCACAATTCCGTTGTACACACCGATGTTAACAGCAGCCCCGTCTGTGCGCATGCGACCGGCTGTCGTCCAGTGACCGAAGCACCTTCTGGAAATGCTTCACAAGTCTGCCGGTACGCAAATGCGCTTAGTGAGACAAGTGACGGTATGCATTTCAGATGTTTGCCGTGCAGGCGTACCAGTTATGTGCACCCCTGGTTATGTTGCTGTATTTGTATGCATTGTATTCTCTGTGAGTTATATGCATTTAGTTTTTATATGAAAGCACTTTATAACTCAGTTTGAAAGTTGCCAAAGAAATAAATGATGCTTATAGGTATCTGCAATGACAAAGTCCGATGGTTGCATCCCTCGCTGTGAGCTTTTAGATTGTTTGTTCATGACTCACCTGGTGGCAGGTGCAGCTTGAAGAGGAATTTCAGCTTATTTGTGAACGATGCACCGTATAAAGTATCTGCGGGAGAAGCAATCAGACATTTTAGTGGTGGGGATACTGAGGTTAACATTAGTGGAGAACGCAGGGAGTAAGTGAACTCACCAAGGGCGTAGCAGAACTCTTTAAAGTTCACCAGGCCGTCCTGGTTCTCGTCTATCAGGCGGAACACCCAGAGGGAGAGGGTGCTCTTGGGGCTGCAGAAGGCCCAGGGCTCCAGCAGCGAGAAGAGCACGCTGAACTGCTGGAAGCCCAGCTGGTACTGGTCCAGATAGGCCAGGCTGGGGTCGTGATGCAGCAGAGCGGGACTCTGTATTCTCCAGTAGCAACACAGGAAATGTTGCCTCTAAAAGCAGAAAACAAAGAAACCGTGTCCATTGCTATTTTTCTTATTATGAATGTTGACATTTTGGTATCATGACAATGAAGACACTGTATCGTGACTTTGACTCACTTTGAACAGGTTGTAAATCTCATCAAGTTGTGAGGCTCCGAATCGGACTTCTTGTGTTACTACCCGAATCTGAAAATAGATTTTTAAATGATTTTTTTGTATTTCAAAGTGACAATGAAAGCGGAGTAACTTATTGTAACCTCGAGGATAGCTTACCACATTCTGTTTGGTTGTGTCCTCCAGTGTCTGGATCACATGCAGTTTGTTTCTTTTCCGCGAAGTCTCCACTTCCTCTGAACGGATATGTCCATATTTCTGCAACAAAGAACAATGAGTGTAAAACAAACACAACGTTGACATCAGTGAATAAAAAATAAATTCGTCGGTTAAAAGAAAAAGGATCCTAGCCTATTTTGACAATTGATTAATTACTATATCAATTTGTTCAGGTATAAATGGCAACAATGCTCTTTTCAGCCCCTGAAATATGGAGATTTGTTTAATATCGTATAAGGGAGAATATTTCTGCGATTTGGACGATAAACAGCGAACTGAGAGGCACAAACTTGGTCTTTGAGAAAGTGGTATGGACATTTTTCTCCAACTCCATATTTTTTAAAACCAACATGGCTCAAATATTGTTTCAAAACAAAACTCTGACATAAAATGAATAGTGACATTTGTTCATACAGAGATAGATAGTTGTAGAAGTTGTATCCGTCTATGGTTTTAAATGAATGCCACTTATTGCAGTAAATACAGAAAAATACAAATAAATATCCAGGTGCTAACATCTGTAATTAAAGGAATGTATACAAAATAGACACATCTTCTGAATAATCCAAAAGTCAGACTATTACAGAGAAATGCGTAGCTCTGTGTAGTACATCTCATCTTTTGGGGGGATTCTCCTCCGTACTTGCCTATCTGGTATATTCAAGTATTAATCAGAAATAAAACCAGTCATTGTTTGCAGTGCTAATACCTCATAAGCCTCTCGTATCAGTTCACTGATATCCACACTGACGTGGGAGGCTTTATCGTTGCTTCCCACTGAAGCTTGCTGTACAGTCGGAGGCAGCGGGCTGTCTTTGTTTGTCACGCTGTCGAAGAATCTGTAATAAAACCATCAAAGAAAGAAAGACAATCATTTACACAGCAGTAATGTTTGAAATACATCAGTCCTGCTTGGTTTGCCTTCACACAGACTTGTTGAGGATGGTGACGGCCTCGGCGTCGTCATGGCAGCTGATCAGAGCCTCCATGTTGTAGTCCAGCACAGCCAGGCCCAGCTGCAGAATGGCTTTGATGCCGTCGTAGAAAAAGCAGTCCACCACGTTCACTGCGCTCTCGATGGGCAGGACACTGATGAAGAGAGTGAGGAACCAGGACAAGGACACAGAAGAGAAGAAGCATAGGTCTGTCATGTGCTCCACCAGCTGGGGGAGGTTCTCTCTAATCAGATCCTCAAACACCGCCTGGTCAACCAGAGCACCTGGAGAAAGATTAGACAACATTAAGTGATAATTTAAATCTGGAATCATTCTAACAGTACGAGGAATGCTTCCCCTCTCACCAATAATTCGCCGATTAAAGTAATCCGGCAACATCCTCTCACAGACGGCCACTAGGAGCCAGAAAGCCTCCTCTTCTTTCGCATAGAGCAGGAGAACTGAGGTGAGAATGTTCATGGCCTGCACAAGGAAAAATAGCACACTGTAAAAACAGACCACTTCACTTGCATCATAAGGTTAACTGGAGGAGGAAGGCCAATATAAGTGGTGTGTGTGATTCAAAAAGGGTTTCCAGAGCATCGCTGCCTTTTTTAAGTGTTGATATTGATGGTTTTATATCCCGCGTGGCTTTTTCTGAGGTCCATAACCTTATTTTTGAGGTACTCTGCCTTTTTTTTAAATCACCTCTGCTTTTCAGAGTTACTGGAATCATCAATGTCAGGGAAATACAAATGAAAAGTAAAAGGACACACAGGGGTTCAAAACTACAAGGAATATTATTGAAAACAGCAGGAAAAAAGTATAATGTAATGTTTCATAAATGAATAGTACAGACAGAGATGAAGAAAGATCATGTGAGCTAATGGACTGTTAGAAGTGTTTTTTCAATTTCATTTTCCAAACACATTTTGTTTTCGCATATATTTTACCAATTCATTTTATATATCATTTCAATTATTTAATTCATGTACTTTTTCTATCTATATTGTATTTGTGCCTATCAAATAAACACTAATTGAAAGGAATAATATTAATTATAATTCTAATAATATCTCACAGTCATTAGTCATTAGTTAGTCATTTGTATAATTACCCACTGCCTAACGGGGAATCTGTTAAGTATGTGTATTAATTAATATGAATCAAAGGGCGAAAGAAATAGATATTTTTTGGAGATGAAAACAATGTTATTATACTAAAGAACAATTAACAGCAAAATGATGAACATTGTGTGTCAGTTATTGTAGTATAGAGTCATTTATTCCACAGTTGAGGTAGGTTGTGGGTGCTATGATGCCACCAGCAGGGTATATGCATGTGTGTGTATTTGTTTATTATTATATAACGTATAAAGTACCTGACAGTAGCCAATCTTGGGGTTCCTGTAAGCATAGGCAGTGAGGACTCTGCGTAGAGCAGAGATTCCTGTGTCGCTCTGGAAGGCGGGGTGCTCTGGCAGAGAGCGGTGCAGGTCTCTCTCGATCTCATCTGTAGCCAGAGTGCTGGTGCCCAGGGACTGCTCCACCAGATCAGTGTAATACCCGGGGTGAGTGGCCATGTCGTTCACAGCTCCTACAGAGGCAGAGCCGCAGTCAGTACAATAACACATGCTGCACAGATCCCACACCCACTTCATTATTTATGTTGCGTGAGCTTCATGCAAGGCTTCCAAACAAATCACTGACACTGCTTGTCGCGGAGGCTCAGATCCCTACACCCTCTCATTCCACTCCCACTACGTTTTGCATTCGCGTGGAGGATCGGCCACATCAAGTGCATTTACAAGCCAAGTAGTGGGCACTGGAGATGGGTTATTAAAACCTCTGGCAGCAAGTCTGCACTGATCCTGACTTAACCAGGGCCGTACCGTATAGAACCATATGCCACCGTATGCAGTGCTGTTTGTGTCCTTTATGGACTGATCAAATTGTATTTTTATTTTACTAACTTAGAATCACGTATATACTTGTGTCTATTCTAGAAAACAATGTGTTCATTTGATTGAAACGTTTTGTACATTTACAGAGACCAAAAAAAAACAAGCAGCTTAAAAACATTTAAAAAAGGCAACTTAGGATTCTTGAGGTTTAATTATAATTATTATTTTGTATTCTACACAATGGTTACAAGAAGTTACAAAAGTTCCTGATTCATTTACACCATCCACCTTAAAGCAGGGAGCCTCATTCAGCTGTGAGTGCGACTACAGTCCAAGTTCCCTCCATCAGGGAGTGAGAGGGTGAAGGGTCCGTCTTTGAATCGGGCCTTGTTTACATACCATGGCGTGAGTAATGTGTGCTGTACAATAACCTGAAAAAAGCATCCACAGCTCTCCTCTCAAGGCCTCAGGAACACCTCGGACGATCAGATCTCGTGTCTTCCTGGTGAAGAACATACTCGTGCCGCGTCCATATTCAGAGAAGTGGATGTTCCAAGACTGTTCTTTCATCTTTTCTTTAAGCTGTTAAACACACAGGACAACACACACCACAGTGTTACTGCATCGGCTCTGAACACTGTTCACACTGCTTGTATTCCAAACAGATGCAACATTTGTATTTATGTCCACCCCTGAATTGATTAGACACCCACCCAGAGCATAACAAGGCTCTGGTGCATCAAAATGACATTAAGGTAATCCAGTCCGAATGTTGTGGTTCTCAAAAAGTTGCTGCTGAAACGTACCATTTTGGGGTCGAGGTTTTCAACATCCTGGGGGTGGAAAACCATCATGAGCGCCTCAGTGCTTACAGCCTTGCTGCTGTCTTTCTGTCCCACCATCAGTGTGACATCCTCCGGGTTGTCATCGAAGTGATTGATGAGCGACTGGCACTCGCCTCGTATGACCTTGGTCATAAATACATATACATATTCAGTAGCACTATCTATGCAGCCCATGTCTAAAATGCATTATGCTTTATAGCAATATTCATAACCTGTTAAAATAATTTTAAACTGTGTCAAAATACAGTCAACAAATATATATTTGGAAGGATCATACATCATTTTAATATTACACATGCTAATTAGTATAATGGTAATACATTATGATCTTTTAAAATGCATTATATCAATGCATTTTGGAATGTTTTATTCTAAGTTGTCATTGTTTGCTTTAAAAAAAAAAAATGATATCTATACAAGAACAATAAATAGTTGTAAAAATATGTTTTATTTTCCTTATTACACACAACGAACAAAGAGTAACTTGATATAAAGTTATAAATTCATAAAAACAGTGATCATAATGAATTATAAAAGATTATCATGTGTAACAGTTATGATAATACATATAATATGGGTGTAACGGTTCACAAACATTTCGGTTCGGTACGTACCTCGGTTTTTTGGTCACGGTTCGGTTCGGTACGTTTTCGGTACAGCAGAATTTTTTTTCACAAAACAAAACATATATATATATATATTTGTATTATTATTATTAAACTGTGAATAATGTATTCACTCAAATAAATACAAAATATAATAAAATAAACATTAAGGTGCAGCATTTCGATGAACTGAAATAATCTGTATTTGAACTGTACTGTACTAGCACCTAAGCAGCCAGTTTGACATTAGGACTTGCTTGTCATTGTATTTTTAAAGAAAAATGAACTTGTCCACATTGCTTGCCGAAAGGGCAGATCTGCTGGCACTAACAATGTCTCCTGCTGTGGAGAACACCCTCTCTCTAGGGACAGAGGAAGCAGATACAGCCAGGTAGCGCTTTGCTAACATGGCAACATAAGGATATTTGGCATTTGTAATAGCTTTGGCTTGGTCTGATCTTTCTGCGAGTGGTGGAGGCTTAAATGCTAGTGGGAGTTGGGTTTGCACTTCAGTCTTTTTTCTTTTGGTACCGGCAGAGGTGGGACCAAGTCATTGTTTTGCAAGTCCGAGTCAAGTCTCAAGTCTTTGCGCTCAAGTCCGAGTCAAGTCTCAAGTCAGGATGGGCCAGTTCAAGTAAAGTCAAGTCCTAAACTTTGACAAAACGAGTCATAAACAAGTCATTATGTGTTTTTCACCAAATGTAATGACATCGATCAACAGAATAATACTTAATAATCAAATTGCTCTTTATTAGTCACATTAATAATTTAATAATCAATTTTCTCTCTGCTGGTAAAGTAACGTGTGTTTTTCTAATTTAAGAGGGATCAGTAAGGTAAGGCTACCGTGACGGTTTGATTCAGAAGGAGTTTAATGGATAAGATCCCTGATGTTGAGGTAACCAGAATGTTTATTTCTACTGTGTACAACATGTTGTAAGGGACCCACAATCTATCTTTATGCAAGGGATAATGTGCAGCGAGGCGGTCTCTATGGGGAAAAGAACACCTGAATCTAGATCCCTCTGCAGGTGGTACTTTAAGTATATTTTGATGCTAATACTTTTGTACTTTTACTTGTAACATTTTGAATGCAGGACTTTTTATTGTACAGGGTTCCTGCAGGTTTCGCCAACTCAAATTTAAGACTTTTTAACACCTTTTTAAGACCACTTTGAATAGAATTTAAGACCTATTTCACGGCAATAAAGTATGAAGGAAAATGTATATAAAGAAGAAATACGTCCCATAATCACTTACAAAGTAAATGTATTCATGTTCAACATAAGAACAGTGACTGAACACAACAGCGTAACAGTACAGAACTGTGTTAGCGTGTTAGACAAAAAGTGTGTGTGTGTGTGTGTGTGTGTGTGTGTGTGTGTGTGTGTGTGTGTGTGTGTGTTAGGGCTGTGCAATTAATCATATTTTAATCGCAATTACGATTTTGGCCTGCCACAATTACGAAAACAACATAATCGTAAAAAACGATTATTTTGCTTTGCTAGGTTGTGACAGTGCACTACAACATATTTGATCTAATTAATTTTTTAGTAATGTATCATTTATTTAATTAATTGTTGTATTGGTTTTTCAGTTGAATTATACGTTCAGGGTAATCAACAGTTAAAAAGATACTGTTCAAATTATTATCTGTTTTAAAGTTCAATAAATGGATGTTTTCAAAGTCAATGAATAATCATATTTAATAATCGTGATATTAATTATTGACCAACATAATCTTGATTATTGCCATAATCGAGCAGCCCTAGTGTGTGTGTGTGTGTGTGTGTGTGTGTGTGTGTGTGTGTGTGTGTGTGTGTGTGTGTGTGTGTGTGTGTGTGTGTGTGTGTGTGTGTGTCTGTGTGTGTCTCTGAGAGAGAGTGACAAGAGCTATATTCAGAGCTCTGCTGCCTTGGCTACACTATTTCATCGTTGCTGTTGTATGATTGGTGTTTAGCTACGGTATTTAGCGTCTACAGCACCTCCGCTTTTAGGGTTGACGTAGACCCAAACTTAGCCCGGAGGTCCCCCGGTGTTGTTGCGGGAGCTGCTGCATTAGCTGCTGCTGCACTAGCTAACGCTGCATTAGCTGCTGCTGCACTAGCTAACGCTGCACTAGCTGCTGCTGCACTAGCTAACGCTGCACTAGCTAACACTCCACTAGCAAAACAAACACTAATTTATTTTGCAAAAGGTGCAGCGGGCTTCAAACACGTTCCCTCCACTGGTTTCAACCAAACACTAAATTAGATGTTTTCCAACCAAATACGGTTGAACTTACACTTCCCCATATTTATTTGTAAGTAGATTCGAAGATAGGCTACATGAGCTGAAGCTTGGTTGCTAGGTTACTAGCTGGGTGTTCTCCAACAAGGGGACGGGGGAAACAAAGTTAGTGATTACTGGTTCCATGTTGATTTAATTCAATACAAATTGTTGGGGGGAACTGAAAGGCTATTACCGTACTGGTTACTTTGCAGCCCGGACATTTCCCCCAAAACACATTTAGACGCTATCGCAACATAGAAGTACTTTTCAAATCCGATAATTTTTAAGACCTTCTGAATCATATTTAAGACCTTTTTAAGGCCTTCAATTCTGATTATCAAATGTAAGACTTTTTAAGACTTGTTAAGACCCCGCGGGAACCCTGATTGTAACTTTTTTTAATTGTCTGAAATTCTCCCACCTCTGACAATAAATCCTGAGTGTTTACCCTGCTCTGAAGGTTATTTTCATTTTACAAATCCTGCACTCAGCTTTGCTTTCTCCAATATCATTGAAAAGCAGCCAGATGCTGCTTCTTTTTTCGGTTTTCGCTCATTTCTTGACTTTTTCCGACGCGCTTGCATTTAAATCCGGCTCCCCGGCTCCCCGTCGCTCTGCACATGCTGTGCCCCCACCCTTCTTTCACATAATGGTATGATCCTAGTGTGTCCTCGCATATGATTGGCCGTATGGTGGCCCAGCTAAATAAAGACCCGCCCCTGCCTGCAAGGATTCTCAGCAAGAGTAGGAGCGGCTGAAGATTCTGCTTTCCCCGACGGGAGTCTGCTCTTCTAGCGGTAGCTCGCGATCGGCGTGTTGGAGACCTCTGAATTAAAGTAGCAAGTCACCTCAAGTCAGAAGGCTCAAGTCCAAGTCAAGTCCCGAGTCATTGGTGTTCAAGTCCAAGTCGAGTCGCAAGTTTTTTGTGATGTTGTCAAGTCGAGTCTCAAGTCATAAAATGTGTGACTCGAGTCTGACTCGAGTCCAAGTCATGTGACTCGAGTCCACACCTCTGGGTACCGGTGATATTCACGTTCGGGGGATGCCTTTTCAAGAGTGTGCAAGTTTGATTGATTGATTGAAAAGTTTATTAACAGCTTGTATATTGGGTACAGTACAGTACAGCTCAAAACATACAATTGTTAAGGGGATGCAGACCAGAGAAAGACTTTCGTCTTGTTTACATCAGGGTCCCCCATTTCCAATTCATCATGTCATTTAAGACATATAAGACATATAAGACATACAGATGGCTTATTTTGATGAATTGCCAGCCGCGTAACCAATGTTAGTTGAACAATGCCGACAAACAGCTTTGGTTCGGTCCACCTGTCTTTGTCCGTCATCCTTGTTCGTAACTGCGAAACCAAAATGTTCCCAAACCGGAGACTTCAATGATGCTGGAGGATTTTCGAGCTCAACTTTATCTGCGTTCGCCATTAATTTTTGACAGTTCCTCAAATTACTGACTACATTTGAACGCATCCCTCTGACCAGCTCTCATAGTATGCCTCTCATCCATCTCTCATCCAATGAAATGACTTGCTCGCTCTATGACGCGTTGAACCCAATGTGAGCAAATTACTCTGAATGCTGCGACGCAGCACCTGAGATTACTTCCAAAAAGTTGTTCACGTTCTCAATTGTTTACGTTTAACGTTATATTCGTTCGGTACACTTCGGTACACTTCGGTACACACCTGTACCGAACCGAAGGGCCCGTACCGAATAATTTCGGTACGGGTACGTGTACCGTTACACCCCTAACATATAACATTTGATCTTTAAAAAAAGTAATTGAGCTACATTAAGTGTTATTATGTTACCTTATAAATGATACAAATATTCTTATATTGTCTCAAAGATATTGTAGTAAAGCTTTATGAAAATATATGAATGCTAATAACTATAATTTATGTGTTTGCTATGAGCAGATTATATTTGGATGATAAGTACAGTATGTCTTTCTTTCAAAGCAGACAAGATAGTAAGTTTTAAACTATATAACCAAAATAATACTCTATTACTTTACAAGAGCAAAGTGGCCAAAAAAACACACAAACGCGTTACCTCTGATGATGCAGAGTGCTGGGGGCTGGCACTGATCCCACACCTGCTTCGGAGCGAGTTTGCCAGGCGCTGGTAGTCCCGCACCTCAGAAAATCGCAGTGCCCTCTTTCCACGCATACACACCGTTAAAGCCCTGCTGCTGGGGTCTGACTTCTCAACATTAATGACCTGAGAGAAGGCAGCGTTGGCAGAGCACACAGCCATTTTCATCACAAGTGTTAATCAGTATGCAGGGTGCTATATTGGCAGCGTTATAATACCTTACCTCTCTCATTGGAATGATGGTGTGGCATTGGCTCCCGTCTTGGCTGGCGAAACACAGATAGTTCTCAGACAGACAGATCTTGCCAAGTGTGTTAAAATGGCTGAAGGGCACCCAGAGGAAGCTCTCGTGCACCTCTAACAGGTTTTCCTCTTTGGGAAGCCTGAAGAATGTCCGGAACTGCTCACTCTTTGCATGAGCTTCTAGGCCTCTGTGGGGGGTAAATAAAGCAGAATATAATGTCACGAGAAGAAAATCACGTTTACGTTTTCAGGAACATCCTTTTAGCAGCTTTAGACACCGGAGTATTTGGGATATTTCAGTTCCTAAGAGTGCTTTGGGATATTACAGATATATATATTACGGATACAGATCCTTAACTTGAGTAAAAGTAGAAATATTGCAGTCTTAAAATACAAAAATTAAGTATAATATCCAAATGTACTTTAACTATGAGAGTAAAATAACTCAATATGCCAAATTACTACTTTTAAGTGTTATATTATTATAAAATATTATATTAATCTCCTCTAATGAATGCATGTCAATTAAAAACATGTCATATGTTTTAATTTGGAGCAAATGTTAGATACCTTTTATACAACTGGGTAGATTATCATTTACATGTCATACGTTTCTATGTAAAAGGTTAAGAGTAGATAGTAGCACAGATGAGAAATACTCAAGTAGAGTACAATTTTGTCAACATTTTATAGTACTTGAGTATATGTACTTGGTTACGTATCACCGCTCATTATTACATGCATATCATAGTTTGGATAGGTAGATTACTTTATTCAAGGTCATTTTCTAAAGTGCACCTATCATGGTATCTTTAGGCAACAGCATAGGTCTCAGATATATAAAAATATATAAAAAACATGTCTATGAAGTGTTTTGCTCAAAATACCAAACAGATCACCCATTCTAGCCATGCCTCATATCTCTCTATTTCACTTCCTGTTTCAAAAGTGCTGATTTGGGGATAAAGCTTTAAAGAAAAGAAAAAATTGATAACAAATAAAAAAGGAGGGGTCTGAGCTCATGCGGGACCCGGCAGCTACTGTCCAAACTAAATACTGCCGTGATGAAACGCCATATCATGGATTATCAAGGATTCTTTCTGAAACAGTATGGAGCTCAAAGGCTTTCTCTCTTGCCGGTTATACCACAAGGTGAGTTCCTTTCTATTTCCTGCTTCTTCACATACATGCTCTCCAGTACAGGTTAGCTCTGAGTGTTAGCGATGCTAATGTAAACACTGAGCATATTACGTCCAAAACAGTCGGGCATTGTTTCTGATAGCAACTTTCTGATAGGGCCGTGGGTCCACATTTCAGATATTACGTCATATCGGACGCAAATCTGGATCAGCTCCGTTGTTCCCCGTTTTTAGAGATTTGGGTACGGAGGAAAAGAGAGAGGGTTTTATTTCCTGACGCTGCGTGAGTTCCCCGACACACCGACACACATCTTTATGTATGAAAGACATCAAAAAGTGCATTTTGCATGATAGGTCCCCTTTAAATTATCCTGTTTCATAATAACTTTGAATTAAAGCATTAAGGTTAAAATGTATAAATAAAAAGCTTGATTCTAGAATATACAGTTAAAGTGGTAAAGTAAACAACAACAGTAAGTTGACTTTAAAAATACCCCTGGTTTTGTCATGTAAGACCTACCTGCCACTATAGGCAGGTTAACACAAACACAAATGCTTTTTGACTGCAGTCAGACTTTCTGTTTCCTCGGGTTCTTCAGGTTGGCAGCCGGCACTAACAGGACCATGTAAAGCCGTGCAGAGCAGCAGACAAAACTTCATTTACCTCTTGGTAATCTTCAGGGGGTCGGAGAGCGCCGGCTCCCTCTGGAAGTCCTCTTTATCGAAAAGGCGCTTAATGGAGTAGTTGGCCAGCTGTTCCATGATAACAAAGGTTTCATTGAGGTGCAGCAGCATGGAGAAGTAGTGATTCTCCCCATGGGACTGGACATGGATGCTCTCAGTCAGGATAACATTGGTTGTTTTCTCCAGCCTCCAGATCTCGTCCCATGAGATGATCAGTTTCACTGCACAGGCATCACAAGGAATGAAAGTTAGTAATTCAGGCTCACAGCTGCAAGGACACAACTCTTAAATGAATAAGAAACATATTACTGTGAAATGATGTTTAACAAAGGACTCATTCCTTCCTATAATTATGGAACCTGTAATTACCTCGAGCAGTTTCTATAAAAAATAATGATCAAAGAATGTTCCTTGCAGACCATAAAAGCTAACTGTGGTTGCCAATAGAAACTAGCATCAATCAAAATGAGCAAGACATATGGAGAAACGGCTCACGCTCAGATCCCAGCAGGTATGAATAGAAGCAGAGGAAGTTGGTGCTGAGGTAGAGCCAGCCCTGGCACGGCACTTTGCCTCTCCAGTAGCTGCATGAGTAATATGTGACCAGCTTCTCCTGCAGTGGCAGCTCAAACCACTTCTCAAACTTAAAAAGTGCTTCTCGGAACTTCTCTGGATCTTCTTCCAGCACCAGGGACGCCTTCCCTTCTTCAGCGATAAGACCCTAACAGATTAAACATCAAGGATTACCGCAGGCAGTGACAATATAACAAGGAACTATCTTCTTATAATTGCCTTAATCAACCCATTTATATTCCTAAACTTAAACATAATTGCGTGTGCTAAAAAGTGTTATTTATTTAGTAAGTGGAAAACAACTTTAATAAATAGGTGTAAATCTTTTAAAGTGATACAGTTATGTTATCTTAAACAGTATTTTACAGCACAACAATGACAGTCAGCTAACCGAGAGATTAACTTCACAAGTTCTTACTCTTATCTTGCCCTGTACAAAGCTGGTGATGTCTTCGCTGGAGTCAAACACAGAGAGGGTCCTCATGATGTTCTGCTGCAGCCATTCCCAATGTTCAGTGATCTCCTCTTTGGTAACACCTGACCAAAAGTCAAGAGAAAACAATATAAAACTATTATTAAATATCATGCATGGGAGGTTCTTTTGAAGATAAGAGAGTCTTAGGTGACAAATATTTCATTTTCTATTGTAAAATATGTTGACTTGGATTAGGGAATAGTGGCTTCTTTAGGGTTAGATTTTGCAAGACTTTAGTACATTGCCAGTGACTGTCTTTATGCAATTAACAAATTGTTTAAAAGAAAAGACCTACCGCATGCTATTGACCAATACACTTGTGAGTCTGGTGTGTGGTGTAGAATACGGTAGGGGGCAACTTTGGATGTGGAGTCCAACACAGTGTCCAGAGTTCCCACAAGAAGGCCTGTAACGTACAGAAGTCAATTCACATGTTCAACGATCATTATCACACATGAGCCTCAGTGATGTGACTGAAGGCAATCTGAAAGACAAGCTGTACAGGATATTTAACAAGAGCACAAATAATAACCTTTCATTTTCTGTCTACCAACCAATCACTGTTAAACAGAAACAATAACATTTGACAGCATCACAAAATAAGAATACATTTAAAAAGGGACAGTTGACCCCTAAATCAAAAATAAATATTTGTTCTCTAACCTGTATTGCTTTTAATTACAATCTAGGTTGTTTTGCTTTAGCCCCACTAGCGCAATTGAGTTCCATAATATTAAAGAAAAAGGTAGTCATCATTACGGCTGACATTTCCAAAACTCACACCAAAACCATATTGATTGTAAAATAGCAGAAAGGGTAAACATAGGACATTTTTATTTTGGGGTTTGCAGCCCCTTTAAAAAGGATGCTGCTGTAGTTTAATGTTAATTGCATATCAATCATCTTTGATATGGATCTAGGGCTCTGCCTTTACTCTTACTGACGGTGTAGACATTCAACACGTCTCAGGTCTACGTCAGTGCTAAAATGAGCTAAATCTGTTACCTTTATAACTTCTCTCTTCCATTCCCCCCATGAATAATTAACAACGTGGCTGTGAAAGCACCCTCCAGCCTCAGCATTATAACGGCCTGCCTGCTGAACATGGTCAAAGCTCTCCACAGGCTCTATTAGCGAGCCACCAAGGAGAAAAGGATTCAAAGGATCAAAATACAACTCACAGCATTTATGTTCTTCCCATCGCCATCCCAGTGGAGATGAACATTGACTTTAACACAAGATACTTCAGATATAAAAAGGCATTTGTGATGGAGAGGGCTTTAAGTGCACAATGTCATCAGTACTTAACATACACTATCATTAAGGGGACAATTGTCTTCAGCTAGAACACCATTCATCATCATTAATTATAAATAACCTCTAAGCTGTAACACTGTGGTAAGAGGTTAGAAACTGTTTGTTACAACAATTGGAGGTATCAAACCTCAATGTTTTTTGAAGATGCAACGTGTCATCACTTGGGGTCACGAGTGTGAACCTGAGGGTGCACTTGATTTTTCAGGACTTAAAAAGAGACTGATGCTACTTACTTTAGGACAATTTCAAAAACAACTTACTAGCATGAACCACTCTTCCCTTGGACTGGTACAAAATGTGTTTACCTTGTTGTCCCTCATGGCTTATGTGGCTTACAATTAGGGATGCTCCGATCGATCGGAATCGATATTCACTCTCTGCCGATCGATCGGTGCTCTCTATAAATGCTGATCGGGAGAGCCGATCGCATGACGTAAAATAAATGACACTTTTCTCTGTGTGCAGCAAAACAAGCTCGCCAAAATGGCTTCACCGGTCTGGCAGTATTTTAAGGTGTCCGAAAAAGACAGTAAAATAGCGCTATGCAACGTGTGTGAAGCAGAAATCCTGCAGCTCCGCCCGCTGTGACGGACCGGTGAGCGGAGCAACACACACTCAGAGTTAGACCTAACACACTAAGCTGTTTGATCTACCTCTGGAACAAGCTAAACTAGTTATAAATGTATTTATTCTTCACTGTTGGGTCACTCATTACTGAATCAGTGAGCTGCATGAGATTGTGGCCGTTTCTCAATCTCGAGGATTCTGGCTTCCAAGCCAATATTTCAAGGATGCTACGTCATCGAGTGCCGCCGAAGGACTGTTCCAATCTCCAGTATATTTGGAATTCCACCGAGGCCGCGTCCTTGGTTTGGGGGAAATTTTGAGGCTGCACATGGGTAGACTTCGCGTCCTTAAAATCCCCACAATGCTTTGCGCACGGACTAATTTCAAAAACCCTTGCGGAGAATTGCTGAACCGACGGCACACATTTAAATGTAAGTATAGTGGCGTAGAACATGTGTTGGTAAATATGTTACTTTGTTACATTTGTTATCACCAAAAATGTGTTCCGTGAAAGTAAAGCAAGTTCATAATTAGATAGACATCGTGAGGTATTTATTTTCGGTACAGTTTATGTTGAAACCGTTGGAGAGAGTGGCACACTTGTTGGCCTGTTCCATTCTTCTTCGTTTTCCGAAGCCGTGGCTTGGAAGCATACTTGCTTCGTTTCTGAAGGAAGTGACTTGGAAGTACGCGACTACCAAGCCAGCATCCTCGCGATTGAGAAACACCCACTGACAGGCTGTCAGGAGAGAGAGAGAGAGAGGAAAAGAGAGCACTTCCGCTCTCCCGTGTTATTATCCAAAGTGAATGTAAACTTGAATAATGTACTTCATTTGAATGTAATAATGACGTTGGTTGTTGTTTGTGGAAGCTCCAGTGAATGAGCCCATTAACTGAGTTTTAAACATCACTTTAAATGGAAGATCCCCATAGGCTCCGTCCACTCGATCGGATCGGCCGATACTGATTCCGGTGTTTTGTCAAATTATGCACCCCCGTCGTGAAATGCACCCCTTGACACGGGAACGCGCATTTGATTCAATGTATAGTCCGCTATTCTATGTTGTCTTTTTGATGGTTGGGTTGTCGAATCCTGGATTTTGCATTCATTCGTCACTTATTTTTCAGTTCATTTTTTATTTAATATATGTTTTTATTTAATTGTACTTTTTTTATTGTACTTTTGCGTGTACTTGTGCTTTACAATGTATAGTTTATTTTTACATCAAGTGCTTGAGGGTGGGATTAATATAATTTTTTTTATTTTGGGTGGTGCTTTTTATGAACAGCCTGGTTGCCACGATATGCACCCCTTGCTATCTCTGACAACAAACGTGTCACATACATGAAACTTGCTCCATTTATCCAAAGTGCTTGAGGGTGGGGTTAATAGAAGCATCTTTTTTTGGGGGGTGCTCTTTACGGCAGGTCAGGGGGTGCATTTCACGACGGGGGGTGCATCATTTGACACAACACCGGCCCCCAAAATTGGCGATCGGAGCATCCCTACTTACAATGAAAAAATAATACAAATATAAAACTCAACATAAAATGGTGGTGTAATATTTTGACTGTTACTTCCCAAAGACTTGAATTAAAAGAATGGGATCAGTATGTTTAATTATAATAACACCAGACAGTTAGGCATACATGTTCTTTTTTCAGTGTAGCATACATTATTATTCTAAAAGTGGTTTAAAGGTCAAAGATGGGTTCGGGTTACAGTAAAACAGGGTCAAATGGGTTAGAAAAGTGTCAAAAGAACTATAATTTCACGGGAAGACTAGCGGTGGAGGAATTAGGGCTGAACGATTAATCGATTTTAAATCGAAATCGCGATTTTAAATGATGCAATTATCAAATCGCTAAGCCTGCCATTTAATTTAATTTAAATAAATGTGTTCTTCTTGTGTGTCACTCATCCACACCAATCAGAAGTGCTGTGCTCCACATGTACCAGTCATTGTTAGCCAATCAGAAGTGGCCCATGATAGAAGGTGATAGACAGATTGATCCAATCACCTGCCAAGTATTTTTGAAATACTTTTCCAAATGGCTTCCAATGGAGCTTTCCTAGATGGTTTGGTGAAACAAAGCATCTGAGTCAGGTCAGTGATGCTCCATCACATGTTTCTATCACAGGGTGAATCTTAAACTGAAGCTTGACTTTAAAGCAACCCAACGGAAGTTTCATGTCAGTTTAGTTCTTTCACTCGTAGCTCGGGCTGCGGGGGTGCTAGAGACGGGAGCACGTTGATACGACCTTCCTAGCCGAATATATGGCCGCATTTTACAATAAACTTCCGTTGGGTCGCTTAAAAACAAATATCGCAAATCGAATTGCAATATTTGTCAGAAAAATCGCAATTAGATTATTTCCCCAAATCATGCAGCCCAAGGAGGAATGTGAGAATTTGGTAAGGGATATTGTCAAATATCTGGAACAAACTACCAGAGACCTGCAGGTCCACTGCAACTTTTACTACTTTTAAATCCAGGCTGAACACTTTGAATTGCCTTGTGTTGAAAAGTGCTATATAAATAAACGTGCCGATAGCAAGAAAAGCGGAAAGGCTGATATACCAACTGGAGAAGGGAATAAATCATAGTAGATGTCTATGAATCAATTAGTTAACCAGGAAATGTATCAACAACAAAAATATATTTGGTTACAATTCCTTAAATTAGGCAACAGTGTGATAACTCCACTTAGCATCAATGTCCTCATACATAGTGCTCCGGACACATGTATTGCCTGGAGAGCAGCAGTCCCTGACATTGACATGACATTATAAAATGTAAGGGTGTCTCTTATGGGTAGGAACTGGTGCAAATATTCACAAACTGCCAGGGGCAAAGCAAAAAAAGGTAACTGCTTCAATATTCATTGAGAAATAGACTGGTAAAAACTATATATACACTTATGTTCAGACTGATTCCTGTTAGCTGGTATTGAGACGTGAATTGAAATCTGGCACAAGAACGGATACAAGTTATAAACCCTATGTAGATCCTGTAATCTATCCACAGGTCAGGGGTCAGTACACTCAGCAGGAAATGAACGATGTAGTCAGTGGTGTATCTCGATTCCTGCTACGTTGTACTTCTACTCCACTACAATTCAAAGGTAAATATTGTACTTTCACTCCACTACATTTCCTTTTTACCTTTACTCGCGTTGTAGATGTGGATTAAGGATATAAAACATAATCAACACTTTAAAAACATCCTTTAGTGACATCTGGACTACCAGCAGTAAATAAAATAATAAAATATATGAATGCATTAACAATTATAATCAAAACATTTCGAAATGGGCCAATCTGCATCATGAGTACTTTTACTTTTGGCACTTTAAGTATATTGTGATGCTAATAGTTTTACTTGAGTATCATTTTGAATCCAAGACTTTTACTTGTAACTGAGTATTCCTACACTATGGTATTTCTACTTTTACTCAAGTACAAGATCTGAGTACTTCTTCTACCTATGTGTAGTGGACTTGTTATCACGTGACCATAACTCTATGCGAACGTAATAGGCTAATACTGTGTACACTGAGAGGGACCTTAACTCTTGCAGGCTGCTGTGTCAACACGAGGAAGCAGCTGTTCAGTAGGTTTAGTGTCATTTGGACAGTTGGCATAAACCTGTTGCTATGAAGAAATGTTCTGTGGACGAGTACACGCAGACAGGACGCTAGCTATGCCAACGTATGGCGGTTTAACCGGTTAATAACTTGTTGTATTTAACGTGGTTGCTTGTTTAGCTTGGCTGCAGTGGCTGTCCTAGCGGAGGTGATAACATAACCGCTAACGTTACCTGTCAGCCCGCCTCCACCTTCTCCGTAGCCCCGTCTCCTTTGCAGTACGAAGTACTCGTTATCCTCCTCGGTGACCCATAATTTGAACGCGTTTTTCAGCAAATTCTCGTCCGGTTTGAGCCACATGTTTGAAATGTCATGGAGTTAGCTATCAAATCCACCTGACATGTCACAGTTAGCTGTAACGTAGCACAACATCAAACCCGTGGACGTTTGTTTGTGTCCGAGTGCCTCCCTTCCCACGTCGACAAGAAATGCTGACAAAGCCGCAAGGCATTCTGGGATTGTAGTTCCTGACGAGAAAGGTGGGTCCACGAGATACATTCCGCGAGACCAGCGTATTCATGACTGAAATGGGGAAAAACTGAATCATTGGTTCATTAATTTCTTATGTGTGTAATCATCATTCATTAAATAGCAAATTGTTTTGTTTTTTTCATCCAGCTTTGGTATGTTTTTAATACTCCAATAGACATAAACGAAAATATGTATTTGTTATTATTACGTATAAATTGCTTTTTCTAAATCATTCAACAAACAAACAGGCTTTTCCCACCGCCTTTCTTCAAATAAGTGCAAAATACAAGTAGCCCAGATTCAATTGAAAGCTATTATACAGCATTTATAAAGTAACAGTTAAAAAAAAACAGTTCAAATGTGAGGAAAATATAAAATACAAAAATGTTTCAGAAAAATGTCATACATTTTATACCATTTCATTCATATACCATTATTTTAGACTACTTTTGTTGTTGGGATATATAAATAACAATTGTATACTTTGTATCTCATCTATGACAAAATAATCAGTAGCCTAATGCCAGAGAACTTAATACCAAATAAATTTTTCTAAATATGTAACCTACGAATGTACCCTAATCTACAGATGTAAACTGTACAAGGGATCTATGATTTGCCTATGATCTTGTTATGACATCTAGTAGCAATTGCACAAATGTATAAATTAACATGAGTGGTTACTCCCGTGCAGTCATTAAAACATAATACTGACAGACCTTTAAGAAAAAACTGTTGTTACTTCAGGAAGGAAATGAGTGATTCACTTTCCAAGAAGTTGGAGCAATGATTTTGTTTTAGATCAGCAGTTTGAATAACTGTCACTCCTTATTAGTAGAGTGAGTTATATAGATTTGTGGTAACTCGCATTATATGTGGCCCTCTCCATACGCCATCACTGTGTGTGCTGGAAATTAGCCATGTCGGCTAAAGCTGCACCATTTACTGTTTTTGTGACAGTTCATCGATGGGGACTGTCCACGACACTATAAATAAATAAACTAAACTAAACTCATTCACAGAGACATTTCACAAGTATTAACATTTGAAATAAAACAAGTAACCTTTGGGCTTTACGAGCATAGGAGACACTTAGGAATATCCACTCCATTACTGTTGGATGTTGTTGCTTAAGGTGTCCCTTTATTGGAGGCATGGCCCAAACAAAAAAACGATATTTTTGACCATAATTATGCAAGAAAACAAATGACGCCCTCTCTGACTCGGTTTATTTGTTATAACTGAATAACAGAAAAGGTTAAGTTATTAGTGCCCTTCTTCATTATTTTACAGTAAAAAGGGAAAGTCAACTTGTCACCCCCTGCTGGCACCATAAACTGGTACAACTTAATATGCCGTGCTAATTAACTAATAAAGAAAGAAAACACAACTTTGTTGGACACACTATACAATTACTTATTTTATGACTTACTCTGTACTGTTTTAACCATCAGATCATATTTGTTTTCCATGGTTTGTATCTTAACAGGTTTGTGCAATATATATTTTATTTTACCTAATTTCATTTTCAATAATTGACGGTGCGTTATATGCATACTGTATGTGCTGTTAATCAGCCTGATATTTGTCTTGATTTCTTTCATTGCTTTAGAGGACTCGCTTTTCAGACCCTCTGAGCCTTTGTCATAACTTTTTGACTGGAGGATATTAGGATAACTCTGTTGATAGAATACATTTAGTTAAAGTCAACCTTTCCGTTTTTGTAATGTAGATAACAATGACTAGAGATCAGCTGCCTGAAACAGTAGCTGAAACTTGAAAAACACAAATTCTCAGGTTTCATATGTGTATTTTGTGCCTCTAATCCAGGGGTGGGGAACCTTTTTCCTCTCAAGGGCCATTTCAAATTTTTTCAACATCCTCCGAGGGCCGTACAAATTATTGAACTCAACCTCTGCTGATAAAAATACTAAAATCACAGCCCATTCAGTTCGCCTTTCTTTCATGCTGTGCAAAGAAACAGCAACCTCTTAATCCAGATATCTTACTCGCGCATGTATTCACGTGCACGGTTGTGGCATGACCACCAAAACAGAAAGATATGGACACAAGATGTGTGCAAATGTATTTAGTTTCGTGTCCATGTGGACATGATTTAAGTGGGGGGTGGACCTAACCACCTCTAGAGGAGACCGGGGGCATGCTCCCCCGGGAAGATTTTTTTTTTTAAATGTTGAAGTTAAAAGCATCAATTTGGTGCACTTTGAGAGCAACATTAAGAGATCTATGGATACATCTCTCAACACCCATATGAAACAGAACTGGAAGCAGATTTTCTTTTTCTTTATGGATATTTTACAAATCACTCCCCTTTCAAACTGTATTCTTGTTTATTAAAAACAACTTTGTTTTCCTGTCATATTATTTTATACCTGTTTACTTTATTTTCTTGTTTTTTTGATAACTATAATGATCATATAAAGATGTGCCTCCTTTACCTCACTGGTTGGAGAAAAAGCTTCTTATATTCGTTAGCATAGCTAGCTAACCAGATGCTAATAACAACAAAGTTATTGACTGTATGATCAGTATGACAGATGAACAGATCGCCACTGGGCTTTCAACTAAAGGCAAGGCAAGGCAAGGCAAGGCAAGGCAAGGCAAGGCAAGGCAAGGCAAGGCAAGGCAAGGCAAGGCAAGGCAAGGCAAGGCAAGGCAAGGCAAGGCAAGGCAAGGCAAGGCAAGGCAAGGCAAGGCAAGGCAAGGCAAGGCAAGGCAAGGCAAGGCAAGGCAAGGCAAGGCAAGGCAAGGCAAGGCAAGGCAAGGCAAGGCAAGGCAAGGCAAGGCAAGGCAAGGCAAGGCAAGGCAAGGCAAGGCAAGGCAGGCAAGGCAAGGCAAGGCAAGGCAAGGCAAGGCAAGGCAAGGCAGGCAAGGCAAGGCAAGGCAAGGCAAGGCAAGGCAAGGCCAAGGCAAGGCAAGGCAAGGGCAGCAAGGCAAAGGCAAGGCAAGGCAAGGCAAGGCAAGCAAGGCAAGGCAAGGCAGCAGGCAAGGCAGTTTATTTATATAGCACTTTTCAACACAAGGCAATTCAAAGTGCTGTAAAGACACAGCCACGCAAAAACTGCGGCATGTGTATGGCTCCTTATGGGTACTGCAATTTTTGGAAGTGCCGGAGCGATGTTCTGGTGCTCCAGAACTGCACCCCTGTCAGACGAGACATATACCATGTGATGACACGTTAGGCTCGTGTTGTGTTCATCGACACTGATTTGGCCAGGAAAACAGGCACTTGTTTTGTTTATTTTTGTTGCGGTCTAAATTTTGTGTGTGTTTATAAATGACCTCGAGGGCCGTACCAAATGGTCTCGCGGGCCGTATACGGCCCGGAGGCCCGAGGTTGCCCACCCTGCTCTATTTCGACGTGTTTCCATGCTTTAATGTTCAAAAAGCTCTTTCTCCTCTCATACTGCACCTCTTTTCACCCTCTGTCTGAAACCAGAGCCCAGTCTGCTCTGATTGGTAAGCTGGCCGGCTCTGCTGTGATTGGTCAATGGCTTAGAGATGTCCTGCCCCTTAGCCTATCACGTATAATGTATAGGAGCCCTATAAGCGCAAGAGTTACATAGTGATGTCACTATTTTGCGGACAGGGAGTTTCAGGCAGGGGGGAACACAGGGATTTTAGCCTTTGCAGAATTAACATGCACACATACCTATATATAACACACTATACAGGAAAGGGAAACCCCCCAAAAGCACAATATAGGGCCTCTTGAATACGATGCAGAGAAATACCTCTACACAATTAGATATAGAATGCAAGTGATGAGGACCACTTCGATCAATAACATGAAGTCATCTTAGAAAATTTAAACATTTTAATAAATAAAGACTGATGTAATATACACCATTTTGAATATACAACCACAAGCATATTTACATTTTAAATGAAAAACTGACCGTTTGCTTTAAAAGCTTCAATTTTAAGAAGAGTGGGAGTGAGCAGGATAGCCTAAGCCTATACAATAGCCATACATTCTTTTTAGTGTTTGCGCCAACAAATATAAAAGGCATCATGAGCTAAGTTCTGAGATGATGAACCTAAGACTCTGAATAGTTACATGTAGTGAAGTTTCCTATACATAGAGACAGTTTGAGGTTCAGCTCGTCTGTAGCAGTGAACACACACACACACACACACACACATGTTTTGGTTGTTTTCCGGAAGTTAACAAAAACAAATGAAAACAAACTCTGTAACTCAAACCAGTTCACACATCTCAGGACGACGGAACAATTACGAGGAGACAACTTCAGTATGTTCTTCAACTTGTATTGCATTTCGTGATGAGAAACAAGAGATAAATCAACATCATGTACACAAACATAAATGTTTTGTGAAAAGAGACTTAAAAAGTTGAACTAGATTCAAAAAGCATCTTAATTAGAACATATTTCAATGCTTTGTTGTGATCTTGGTAACACATGTCCCTTAAAAGCAACAGCCCCATCTAGTGGTGGGTGATGGAGTATCTCAGCTGCAGAAGAATAATGACCTGAAGGTGAGTGGAAGTGTGACTTCACTCCCTCCTGTCATCATGTTGTTTATACTGAACAAGAAAAGGGTACCTGCAGAGGGACTGAGTGTTTACCTGACCTGATAGAAGGACTAGAGAGAGATCTGACCGTCTAAGATGGTTAAAAAAAGTCATGGTGAGTGTGAACTCAGCACCAAACACAATGTGTACGCTCCAATACATTAGACTCAGAGGGGCTGTATATTTCAGACCAAAACGAACATCAAAACATTAACTCAATCCCAATACAAATCATCATGACATGTGTACTCAAACTAATGTCCTGTCACATTCCCTTGCTTTAAAATGCCACTCAAAATGTTATCTGATCTGCGTATTCCCTGAAACAACAGCAGTCAAAGTGAACCATCAAAACAAAGACTGAACCAGGTCACATGATGACTTACAGTAGTGTAACCTACAGTACAGTACAGGATTGTGTAGCTACATTTTGTCTAAAACAAGGACATATTCTAACTTAAAAAAAAGCACCACAGATGTTTGTAATAGCACCAGTTGTCAGAATGTATATGAGGTGTTGTTTGGCAATGTACAGCATTGAATTAGGAGTACAGTTAAGCAAAAGGCAAAAGAACGTCCATATTAACTTGCCCATTATGTCGTTTCAAAGCAGCATCATGACTTACATACTGTGAACACACGCTGTGAAACATTTCTCGCTGCAGTTTGTGAAGATGATTATACATGTATATTGTTGTGCTCTGCTGCGTTAAAGATTGCAAAGGGAGCAACATAAGATATTATCACAATTCCGTCATGCCAAACAAATATTTAAAACAATAAAATAGCGCGAGCAAAATCACTGTCCCCCAAAAGGACAAATGAGAAGTGTGGTTCACTGAAAAAACTGAAACGTTGACTAAATGTATTATGTCAACAGATGTCACAAAGCTGTATTAGGGTAGTTGAAAGCAATTATATTAGGTTAAAAGAATACATATTAGCTTCAACTTAATATTATTGCTTTCAACTAACCTAATACAGTTGTGTGAACTTTGCTGACATAATACATTTAATGAAAACCAAGGTTTCAGTTTTTCAGTGTTAGATGATCGGCCCACAAATAACTGAACAATTACATTTGCTATTCACACCAAATGCAGGTTGCTATAATAACTAGATTGCTGTATGTTCTCTGGGTCTCTGTGTATCAGACAGTGAGATATACAGTGGGTGCACCATTCTCTTTTGAACTGAAAAACATATTCATCTGTTATGTAAGATTCTGCATTGCTACAGTATAGAGTAACACATTGATATCAAAATTATACAATATAGACTTATACATTCTTGAAAACAAGTACTGTCACCAAATATAGATACTCAAGTAACCATTTTGGTTCCATGATAATATATTTATATCTATTTATATATATATGTTTTTTTTCTCTATAATTCCTTGCTCTATAATATTAAATTAATTTCTAGAAGATTTCCATCACTCACACATAGACGTTGGTCTGTTACATCATGGTATATCACTGAAGCAGACCCTACACTACTCAGTTCACTCAGTCTTCAATATAGTTGATGTGCATCATATTTTCTTCTACAAAAAATATATATGACAAGGTAAGCTTATTTGAGATATTATTTACACAGTGTAACAAAATGTTATTTTTTTCATATCTCAAATCTGTAATTCTTTTTTTGTACACTCAGTTAGGACAAAAGTTGATACTCAATACTCTGCCGTGTTGCTATGGATACACTCCATTTAAATTCGTTTTTCTCAAATAGTTTACTTAAGTCTCTGCCTCAGTGCATCTCAGTGCCAAGTCTGATGATCACATATTTGTATTTGTAATATTTCACCAGTCTTTACATTTCTCATTATAACCACATTTGCTGAAGATCTGCTTTGCTTTTGCACTGAAGCAACTGAAGAGTTGGCTTTAATTAAATGTATTATGTCAACAAGTTTCACACAACTGTCTTAGGTTAGTTGAAAGCCATAATATTAAATTGAACTTAATATATTTAAACTTAATATTATTGCGTTCAACAAACCCAACACAGTTATGTGAAATATGTTGACCTGACACATTTCAAGTCAAAGTTTCAGTTTTTTCAGTGTGGAAATAAGGAACATAATGTGGCAGTTTTATGGATCAGATGCAGAGAACTTAGAGAGGTGAGCTTCAACATCAATTCAATATGGTTCCAACATGGAGGCAACACAAAGGTTGTGGTTGTGCAGCATGTGTTAGCACCAGATGGATCAAAAGCACTTCCACACGTCAAACGTCTGAATATCCTCAACACAACCATGATAAGTCTCTCCTCAAGCCTCTTCCAGCCCGAGCAGAACGTCTCCTCAGCTCAAGAGTGATACAGTACTGAGATGTTCTAAAATAAAGTCTCATTCTCTAATGATGGATGCAAATGTCTTTAGACCACACAAACATAACTTTTTTAAGCTACTTCAGAGTCTTCAACTGAAAATCATCACTGCTTTTTTATTACTCAGATTGACCCACTTTATGGGACATCATCTGTAGTAATTATGGGCTATTATGTACTAAGCACAAGTCAGACTGCAATTGGACAAATAAAGCTATATGGACCACTTTCGTTTTCTCCAGACTAGTTTGTGAAGTAACACATACAATATAAATATTAAGTAATAGACATCACAGAATAGTAAAGAGCAAATCTACCTCCCCTATCAACACATAGAAATAATTCTAGTTACAGCTTCAATTCAACCGAATGTATCTAACCGCAGTGCTTGGCAATGCTCTGTGGCAAAACTGAAAACGTGTCAAATTTGGAATTTTAAATCATTGGGTTAAAATATTTAGGTTTGGAAAAATTGTTTAATAAAGTGACTTCAAAAGCCTTACTGCTCAACTTTAACTTGGAGCTAATCATAGTTGTTTCATTGGCTTTAGCTTCAAACACAGCCCACTGGTATCATGCTTTTCTTTCACAAATACAGAAGGTTGCTCTGGCAGTGGCCCTATTTTCCCTATTTCTGGAGCATTCAAATGTTTATACTGTGCAAATAATTTATTTGAGTATACATGAACATATTCTCAGTGGCACATTAGGAAGTATACAGTACTTCAGATCTGACTTAGCCCACAGCCTTGTTCACACGAGTCTCATTAAAGCCCTTGGTGATGAAATAGCTCAACAGTCACACAGAGACTATCTCCCATCTTCTCTGTTTTTAAGAGTTGTGACACTGAATGATCAGGGTTTAGTTAGTGTAATTATTCTCTACATTTGACCAAAACAAGTTATACTGTAGGACTGAACTTTCAGCATGTACAGAGTGAACATTTGATTTTCCAGTGCATTTGGAAATGATAGAGGCTCATCCTGTTTATTACTTCTTACTTGGACCTTCACCGTGCTCAGAGGGACACTATAATGTCACAGGAGCATCCAAACAGAATAAAATAGACATTTCCCCATAAAATAATGTTGTATATTTCAGATTAATTTGTCGAACTACATGCATATTGTTGGCCAATATGAACAAGAATGATTTTTTCTTTTACAACTAAGGAACAATTATAATGATGTATATTTTAGATCTTATGTCATTTCTGTCAGTGGTTTGGTTTCTTTTAAATGTGGGGTAAATATAAGATGACACTAGGTGTTTTGATACAATACAGCATGACCACTACTAGTACTCTTCATTCAGTTAGTTTTGTTATAGATAATGTTTTCTATCAACTGAGTTCAAATGTATTCAAAACATTCCAGAATTGGTAGAAAATAGTAATTGTTTTGACATTCTTCTTTGGAAATGGTCTGCTCTCAAATAGTCATTAAAATACCTAATTTGGGAAATCATTGTCAATTGATCTGAACCAAACTCTCCCTTAAGCTCCTCTATCATTCTGGAAGGTACAAAGCAAGATTTTGTAACCATCGATGCTATGAAACGCAGGCAGCAGCACAGCCAATTCTCAATTCTTTAGATGAAAAAAATCAAAGACAGCAACACAGCAATGACAGTTGTTAAAATGGAAGTGGCATTTGTAGTTATTTAAATATATACTCATTAGTACAGCTTTACTTCATAGTTTGCTTAGCACCTTAGGCTGAAGAGCAGCCTCTGTTTGACACCACTGCTCAGCACCTGATGGGATGGCCTCTCTGATATGTTCAGTCATCACTTCACTCAGTGCCGTACGAAGCAGCTAAAAAGAAGTTACTGTCACATGGTACGTCCTCTAGGCTCGCCAGACTTTAGAATCTTTGGAAGAAGAGACTGTGGTTTGACTTTAGTTGCAGATGTAAGTGTAATGTAAAGTTATTTCCACAATAAGTGCATTATGTTGACGTAGACACAATACTTAAATATTAGCTACCAGATGCTCCAATGCTGGAGAATGATAATAATCGTAAAGGCACAAGCTATTTAAATATAATTGCTGCTTTTTAACTACTGACGTATCCTTAATGTATCTATCTGTATGATGGATTCTGAACGTTATTCCAGTATGCTGGATGTGGTCATAAGCCAGTGAATTTCTGTCATGTTTTTGTCTATTAAAGAATGGTAATTGCTTTCAGGAGACAGTTAGTATTTCCTGTTTGGTTAAATAAATAACATTACATCTCTTCTTTCATTTTCCTGAACACTGAATACCGAATAAAACATGAGGTCAGTTTTTTGAAAAACCTTGACACCTCCTTTTGCAAGCAATCATTGTGGACATATCTTAATAAAGCAACTACATTTAGTCACTTAACATGTGGTTCATATTAGAAGACAATTTTGGAGTAGGAGTGGTCAGAGTCTGCTCTACATCACAATAAAGAAATCAAACAAATAAATACATGTATAAAAAACACATCAATAACAGCAGAACATGGACACTGCTTTCATTTAGAATAAGGAGCCTAATATATGAGTCCATACCCTCTACACATGAAAACAACTTTGGAAGAAATGGAGCACCTTTTGAGCCAAAATAGTGGGCCCAATATACAGCCATTGTTTGTGAATCTAACAGGAGCTGCTGTATGTGTGATATAGTTTAGTTCCTAATGTTATGGCACGATGTTAACTTATTCAACAAAACACATTTTAGCCCCTTAGTGTCCATATTTCCATCACATGTAAACAAAACTGCCTTTACCGGTGAACAACAAAATGTTTCTCTCACTTTGTTTTCCCTTAATGCCACATTATTTTTTCTTAAGGGATGACACCCCTCTCAGCATCTCCATATCAAATGACAAGCACATAAAGAGTCAATACAAAGATTCTGGTACTCACACATGCATGCACTAATGCACAAATAAAACAATTATAAAAATGGACACAAGTGAAGCAGGTAACCAGAAGAACCATTAAGGCCGACCAAAGCCATTATTTTGGATGCCCTCTAATATATATATATGAATAAAATACTATAATATACTATGGCACAGAATCTTATCCTCCACTATATGTTGTTCATTTTTTTTATTTGACTATTTTTGGCATAACTATTCTGGATAGGATTTGGTACCCTCTACACTACCTAACGCTCACAAACTGGTGTAAAGAAGCGACACAAATCTGAGGAAATTGACAAGATTTTTGCTCCAGTGCAAACAGTGATGAGATATGAGGAGCTTAAAAGAATTGGAGCAATTAAATGGCTTTATACAGAATGACTGAAAGTAGTTGAATTACCGCTTTTGATTTGGCCTGTTAGTTACAAGTACAGTATATGTAAATGAAATGGAAAAGTACATTAAGCCCCTGTGTGATTCACTGCTGAATTACATTATTCAATAAGGTTTAAGATATATAGATAGTTCCTTCAGTAGTACAGTAGTCCAGGGTTCTGTTTGTTTGTCAGTCCTGATCATTTACAGTAGAACAGAATGTGAAAGATGTATCATTCTGCGAGAATTAAATCCAAATATGGACTTCTTACAAACTAAATAGTAGTAAATATAAGAAAGAAAAACTGTACCATGTCGTTTTAAGAAAGGTAATTATGACTAAAGATATATATAAAAAAGCTAGTTTGCTCTGCTGGCTGATCTGTGGTTGGGGGTGTCGTGTCCTGTGCTCTGAGGTATATTCGGTAGGAAGTGAGATAACACATTTGTGAGGCGAGTTTCTCGGCAGATAAACTTTGCTGGCGGAGAGGATCCGGTGGAAGGGGCTGTAAACGGAGACCGGCAGGGCTTTTTGGGGGGCAATCAACGCATGAAACGTGTTCAAATTCAAAAAGGGTAACTGGACTTTTTGTATAATTATTTGAAATGTGGACAATAGGCACTTGCCTCTTTTTTAACAAATCTTTTTGCACTGGAGTAAAACCTTGGAAAATCGCTGTAGTTTAAACACATTTTTTAAAAGGGAACACTACTGGATTTAAGAATACACATCAACCGTGTGCATTCTGTCATCCAATCAGTAGTGTTCAAATAATCCTTGGATGCATGTGATGTCATTCCAATTGACCAATGCTGCTATATCACTCACAGTAAATTGGGAACAGCATTTCAGAGACAATCTAGGTTATTGATCTACAGTAACAAGGTACAGTTGTTGTTATCATATATTTAAAATAGCAGAATGCTTACTAGTGCAGATTGAATTGACCAAGGGCATAGCTATACAATATACCAAATCTGAATGCTGAAATGTAGTGCTAGTCCCCTTTATAAACAATACATTGCAAACATATTTGTTTTTTCCACCTGGTAGTGATTTTGGAATGAGGGAATATTGCATGGATGTAACTGTGTCCTTTTTGCTTTCAGAGGAGGGTTGCATGGTCTAGGTCTATGTAGTCCATGCTGGCCAAAATAGCCTTCTGGTCCTCCCTCGGTGGGCGGCGGTACAGCAGAGCAGAAAAGCGAGTATACGGGTCGTGGAGGATGGGCCGCTTCTTCTTCTTGCGGAGGTAGAGAACTTCTTCGGGCTGGAGTACCTGAGAGGTGTAGGCCTGCTGGGTCTGAGAGGTGGAGACACCTGGAGGAGGGGAGATCAAAAGTCTGTCATAGTCTCAGAGACTCATGGTGCCATGCTACAGGCTGTTCTAATCAAATCAAATCAAGTTTTATTTATATAGCACATTTATAAACGATTTTTGGTCGAGCCAAAGTGCTGTGCATATAATAAAAATAGCCTACAGTAGAGACACTTTACAGCAAATACAACAGCACAGATTGTTCAGAATATCAGTATGAGAAAAACGACACCCTCTATCCTTAGACCCTCACATCGTACAAGGAAAAACTTCCGGAGAAAACCCACAGTTTAAGGGGAAAAAATGGGTTCTACACATTCATCCTAATTACATTACTTTGATAGTCGTTTTCTGTCCCAATGCTACCATATATTATGGCTTTCAACTTAATTTAATTTGCTGACATAATTCATTTAATTTACGTCAACGTTTCAGTTTTTTCAGTGTACCTGAAATCATTAGTCTGCTTTACCTCATCACGTGGTACACATCAATAGCTTCTGCAACAAAACAGGGAATTGAACAAGCACATGACTTCCCTGAAGTATACATCTGGATAAAACACATTTGGTAAGTATAAACATCACCCGACATTATAAATGATATCACCCTTTTCAGTGTTAACTAACTGCTATGCCCTCTTTTTAAATTATTGTGAAAAGTTTATTTTAATAATTTTGTATATATACTGCTCACAGGTACAGTGGGGGGGGGTATATATAGTATATAACACACTACAGGGAAGGGAGAACCCCATAAAGCGTTACAGGGCCTCTTTAATTAATATCACTGTGTGAAAAGTGCAAACAGACAGGAACAGGAGTCACACCTGCTTTCTTTCTGGACTTGGAGTTATTGTTGTTCATCATCATCTTCTTGGCCTTTTTTATACGTTGGTATCTCAGTGCATCAATCCTCTCAGACCCCGAAAGGGGAGTCGGCACACCTCGATATTTTCTGGATAAAGAGCAGAGAGATGGGAAAACGGGTAACTCCAGGCCAAACGTATACAGTGGACTGTTTCTGCACTACGGAGTGCATCAGAACCAGAAACCCACACAATCCACTGCTGTGCTAAGCAAGAGGTGCAGCACATTGCCAATGGATCAATATGAGATAACAAAACACTTTTTTAAGTTTGGGAAGGATTTCATTAACTCTACTATTACTAAAACATTGTACATCATCTGGATTTACTAAAAGTTATATTAAGATAAATGATGACTACATTTCACAAAATACAATACAGTCATAAATCCAGATGGTACCAATTGTGAACCTTGAACCACATTTCCCTCTCGGATATCTTTCTCAAATGTATCCAAAGAATCTCTACCAAAAGTAAAGCAAAGGGTTAGACGACCCCTGAGACCATGTTTCATGTTTCATGTTTTGGAATATACAACATTTAAAAAAGACTTGCACTGTTAGTTTCAGAAAAAAGTTCGAAGAAAAAAATAATATTTTGGACGAAATGTTAGAATGACTTTTTAAAATTGCTGACATCTTTGCAAATTGATTGAAATCTTTTTTAAATGATTCTATCCCCTTCTGGAAATAACAGATGCAAATGTGTCCTTGGTTTCGAGTGTATATTCCTCAGCTGCTCATGACTGCACAGACCTTCCCCCCATTCATGGAGAAACTTATGACTTGGCAGCCCACAGACTTCTGCCACAAACACACACACACACTTGGTTCTCTCAAGGCACAGAAAACAATAAGCATTACAGAGAGGCCATCTTCCAACCGTGGCTGCAGAGAGAAACCGAAGGTTGTTAGTAGAGGGGGAGAATCACAGCTGAGCAACAAAGCATCATCAATATGTACTGTATTCATAGACATGGGTACTGTCTACAATGGGCTTCACCATGCTGACAGGGGGAGAGATGGCGGGAGGGGAAAATGACTACTCGGGAACAGTCACATAATGAAAAATAAGCCAAAGAAAAGCGAAGCACTAGGACAACAAATGTAACAAGAATTTATCCATATAATTGTTTCTTTTTTTTGGAAACGAAGGAGCAATATTTAGCGATGGCATGCATGGCAGTTTGCACATGAAACACGACTTTAAAGGGGAATACATTCAAAAGCACTGGGCAGTTCCTTCACACATAAAGGGGGTCTAAAGCCCCCTGTGTGTCCACCCTCTGCAAGCCCTTGGCAAAATGTGTGTTCCTTAGGAAAAAAAGAAGTGCGGAAGCTGTTTTAGCTGGAGACTTGCTTTACATGGTAGTGAGGAACTGTTCTGCAGTCCAAACTTAACAAGGGCATTGTACACATACAGTAGATGGTTTGATTCGTGCTCTATACAGAAGCTTTATACCTGGCATTAATGCTATGTGTCCACCAGGAATCTCCTTCTACTTATCCAGGCTAGAGATGCTTGCGGGAAGTTCTGGTCAAGACTCCTGCTATTGCTCTCGTTCTGTTTAAAACCTGCTATACCTGATACATTTTGACAAAGCCAAGGATGTTCCTTAACTTCTTGAAACTACTGTGCTGAGAACACATGCTAAGCTTTCATCACTGCCAGGAACATGCAACAGCATTTCTGCCCTTAATGTTAATGCAAAATATAGCTCTGAATGATCGCTTCCAGTGGACACACAGTTTATTTTTTTTCAATTGGTGGCATTGGTGGCATCTGTAAAATATAAGTGATCAAATGTGTCACGCTTGAGGAGAATGCTAAAAGTGATTTGGAAACGTTTTATATGACAATAAACAATGTCTATGTCAACGTAAATATATGTGATATACTACCCTTTGATAAATACACATAATGCCACACTACAGACACGGCCCGTCCACACAGCTGCGTGTGTTGAAGCTTGCCGGCGGGCGTGTCTGAAACTCGACCAACAACCAATCACGTGAATCTCCCGTCCCGGACACACAAGCATGCGGTTTGATTGGCTAGAGCTTGTACTGGCATATGATTCGATTGGCTGATGCTTCTGCCGAGGCTTCAAAAGTTGAACATTGCTCAACTTTTGTAGCGAGCAATGCGAGCGACGCGTAGCAACGCTCCCACAATGCAGTTTGGCAAAGTGTGACGTCACCCCATTCAAAGTGAATGGGCAGAAGCGTTGAAGCTTCAACGCACGCCGCCGTGTGGACGGCCCGAAAGACACAAGACAACAACATAAATTGGTGACCTTACCGGTTAAGAATATCTTATTTGTTTGTAATAAAGAAACATTGTAAAAAGCATTACTTGGATGTATCCACATCTACTATACCTATTTGTGCGGCCATGTTACTTGTTATTTCTTCATATAGGAAGTAATATGTGTTATAGCAACCTTTATTATTAGCATTAGTCTTTGCTGTCCTTTGGCCAGGGTTAAGGGGTGGATGAATGTGTTCCTCCAAATCCCTACTAGGCTCATCTTATGACCGGGCTAACCAGGCACTGATGAATGTCAGTACAACATCTTGCTGGATAGTGAGTCTGGGGACTAGCATTATGAGAAAAGCGCTAACCAATCATCTAAGGCACAACCAAAGGCACCTGTATCTGGCCTACTGGATAGCACACGGTTCTCTGATAGTTGATAATAAAGACTAAAAGCTTTCTGCGAAAGGGACCGCCTCATTGTCATCCTTGACAATCTCTTTGGCAATCAGTTCAGTTTACAGTGGCGAGGGAGCCCTCTAAGACGGTTAGGCTAGAGCTGCATGCATTAAGAAGAAGTTGATTCCTTCCTGAGGAAGACGGCTGAATTGGAGAGATGGCTTATCACTGGGCTAAAGAAAGGGCGAGGGGCCGTGCGTTTGCTAACAAAAGCCATCGCCATGACATAAGCAGATAACAATTAATGAATTATGAAAAAGCAGGACATATGACCCAAACATTATACTCCCAAAATGGAGTGGGGCAAAAGAAGAAGGGACTATCCACGATTTGCATTGATTTAAGATGCACTGAGGTATACACCAATTTCCCCACCCATCAAAGGTTTACTACCATAGGTCTGTCTCATGTTGCTGAGGCAGTTGTGCATTCAAATAAATCAGGAGAGTATAGTGCTTGTACATTTTAATATCAACCTACATTACACTTTCAAGACTTTAAATCATTTTTGGAGAACTGTTTAGGGGCGTACATCTGTATAAACAACGGTTTAACTGTTGGTGAGTCAAACCCGTAACACATACAGCTTCTTAAGGATTATCTGTACGGAATTCTGAACATTAACATATGAGCAAAATAAGGAAAATGCTTTGTATCCAGGCCAGCTGGGCGTACATGTGAATATTTGTTTGGTTCTGACTCTCATCCAATGCTTTGGATTAGCATTGTAGGCCTTGTTTGCACTGTTCACAATGTTTGCTGCCAGTAGAAGGCTAAGACATCGCCACAAGGACGTAATTACTTTATTCAAAGATATGCTCTGAATTCTGTGTAGAACACTTCTAAGTGTGGTTTTATCTCAAGACTAAAGTGGCAGAAAACAGATGTAAAACCATTTAATTGGAGTGTAATCCAGCCTGGCCAGGGACAGATGTGTTCTGTAGCTCCTGCACCAAATACTCTTCTTATATCTAAATATGTGACCTTTGCTGAACTTATTTTCAGAATAACCAACTAGGGAGACAATACATTCTTGAATAAATATTTGAACTGGTTTGATGCTGATTACTGTTATTTTGTCATGAAATCATGTTGGTGATACATCTCTGACCTGATCTATTAGCTATGATGGCATATGCATGCATAATGTACTGAAGACTATGGAACTTAAAATGCATAGCCACTTTAAAAAAAGAGGAAAAAGGAAAGAACTGAAATGAACTACATGTGTTGACTGAAGTAAGGAACAAATCAAACAAAGACTTAAAGTCTAGTATTCCCCTTTAAAGGACGAGGTGATCAAAAAAGTCCCACCTGCTAACCCCCCCCTTTCAGACATGGATCCAACCCTTACCTATTGCTGTGTAGAGGACCTGGTCACAACAACGCTGCCCAGATAGCTGAGATCAATCAAAAACAAAGCAGGTAAGACTCCAGGAGCCATCAAGAACCACCATACTGGCCCTACTTGATAATGATGGAGACATTGCAGTACATGAGAAGCGGACAGGCCCTGTGACACACTTTGCCCAACAACCTTTCCTTGGTAGTCAGACCTGGGGATGTCCTTGAGGCAATTGAAGGAGTTGGGGAGAGGAGGGTTACAGAAAGGGAAGGGAGGATAGGAACAAATCTGAGAGGTTGGAAGGTGAGGGAGAATTGGTCATACAGTCAGGTTACTAAGGCCGAGGATGGGCCGCAGGGCCTGCCAGGATGAACTCTTCTTAAAGCAACCATCTGCATGATAAAGGCATCTTCAGAGGCTTGGAGCTAGACATAACAATGGGTGCTTGATTTGTCTGGGGAATCAATTGGATGCATATTATGGGATTCCTCCTGTTAGGTGAAAGCAGGGTAACGCATGATACAGATGGAAACACAGGGATCCTGTGGTGATGTCTGCAAATTCCCAATATTTTAGGGGCTTGTGCCAAGACATTACACAGTGTACCGTCAATATCATTTTTTTAAAGCTGAACTGTAGCCCCAAACATTCTGAAATGTAATCTGTGAAGCAACTGCATTTTTCTTGCCAATTCAACAAAAAAATCATGGCCCAATTTTCTTTTTGTTTTAAGTAGGAAATGCAATGTTTTTTAAGGTGATACCTTTGAAATTATGCTTCACAGATTCAATGGGTGAATACCTCTAACTTGATATCTGAAATGGAAAAGCAGCATTGACCAAATTGGAACTTAACTGAATAAGTTAGTTGGATAATCACAATAAAATGAAAAATGACTTTCAATATACATTTGTCATTTTTCACATAAAAAGTGATTAGAAATGAAAAAACAACAATATTTGAAGCAGCTTAACTATCAATCTAATTTGCTGCAGAGATGATTTAAAAAATGATTAGATATTAGACATCACTTCAGTAACCAAAATGTCAGAGCAGCTTTACACATTAAAGCATTATGGGTTGGGGCAGATGACTCATATGGTATCCCACTCTGCATGCCTAATGCACCTACCCTGAAGCTGACAACTGGGGTGGAGAGGGCTCAGATGGAAGAATCCCCTCCTCAGTCCTCCTCTGAGATGGCATCTGCCCAAATATGTTGCTGCTTTCCATGGGGGGTGACGGGGACTGGGAAGCTGGGTAGCTGCTTGCAGAAGTGGCAAAGGCTATGTGGGAACGGTAGCTGGGACTGGCTCTCCTGCTACCCTGGCCATGGTGGGCAGGTGAGGAGGAGGGGGAAGATCTCCTTGAGAAGCTGGCTGTGGAAGGAGGGAGGAGGGTAATCTCAGACATCTCTGGTGGTATGCGAGGTTGGACAATGTTGGGACGTGGCCTGGGACGTACTACAATCTCTGGGGAGCCTTCGTGAGAACTAAGCGGGCTTTGGGTTAGGGGGGAGAGTCGGGAGGGCTGGAGGACCACCTGATGCATTCCAGAATCCACCCTACAAGCCTGTCTAGGACTGAACCGAGGGGTGGTTTCAAACCATCGCGTGTCAAGGCCACTGAATGCGCTTGGTACAATATGGGCCATTGGATTGGGGTAAGGCAAAACCGGCACACCCATTCCGTGGCTTGTGTGTCTTAGATGCCCAAAATGTGCCTCTTGCATAGCTCTATGCTTGGCTGGGGAGCCACGAGGCTTGGCCTTGCTGGGAGACCTAGTTGAGCGGCTCTTCGGGGCCTCCAGTGGCAGGACAGCTGGGTAGGTAGGCATTGGAAGGGAAGGCTGGAAAGAACTTAGGGGAAGAACATGAGGTGGAGGAGGATAGGGGGAGTCGTGGTGGAGATGCAAAGGGTGGTGTGGCGGGAAAATGAACTGGGGACCCTCCAGACTTGCAAAGGTGAAATCCAGTCCCTGCCAAATCTCGGGTGTACGAGAGGAAGAGGTGATAGTCAGAGGAAGTGGGAAACCAGGGACAGCATATTGAGGAAAATCACCCTCCCTGCATTCTTCAGGAATCATGGGGTGACCAAAAGGACCTTCAGCAAGGTAAGGAGGGGAGGACATGACAGAACTGAGTGGGCTAGTATCAGTCATGTAAAAAGGAGGTGGGGGGTCATGATCCCCAGGGTGGCCTAAATAGCCATAGAAAGCCCTGTGGTGGAGAGAACCTTGGATCTGCCCCGTGGCCTGGAGCCGGCTGCTCTCCATGATGGTCATACCTTCGAAAGGCCTCTGGAAACGAGGGCTGTAGGCTGGAGGTTGCAGGTAGGATTCCTGGCTGGAGATTGGGGAAATCTGGTGAGGCCGTAGAGGGGCCATAACTGGGGGCATAGACCTGGGATCATCATTTTCCTCTTCTGACTGCCGGAATTCAGGATAGTGGTCTGATTCTTCCACAAAGGGGAAGCCCTCAATTCGCCGGGGTTTTACAGACATTTCTGCAACAGTGGGATCTATGACAAAGCGTCCATCTGGGCCTCGGCTGATGAGTTCAATGGGTGATTCTTCAGCTTCATGCTTGGACATGCCGTATTTCTTGCTTGTTATTGCTCTTTTGGTCTTTTTGTATAAAGACAACTCCTCCCTCTTTCCTGTAACTGTGGATGGTTTCTTTCCCGAACGCTGGTCATGACTATCTTCAGATGATTCTGACGGAGATGCCTTTGAACGAATGCTCTCCGGGCTCAACTTTACTGAAGATGACCTAAAGAAAAGAACACAAAAGTGAATCTTTAAATGCTCAAATAGCTAGTAAAGCTTTACTGATGGTGCTGAAAACAAATTCAGCCACAATTTAACAAAAATGACAACAGACCATACACAAGAAGATGATATATAAAAAACATAGATGCCATTAAAAACATCAGTGACAGTTGCACTCCAGTTACAAGACTATAGGCGCTTTCACACCGGAGTACTTTTCCCAGGAACAGTTCCGATAGTTCTTGGGATTTAGCTTTCACATAAAAAAGATCTGGAACTAGAACCTAGTTCATGCAAACCTTTTCACCCCTTTTCAGTCCCTGCCAGAGAGGTGGTACTTTCCTGGGGAGGAAAAGGTTCCAATTTCTATTGGCTGGGCGAATTGCAAACCACGGCCCGTAAAACTCCGAAAAGTTTTGTGAAGCCGCCATTTTATTTGCTCGCATTAGCATTAGCCCAGCTCACCAACGGAGAGAGACTAACTTATGGCAACACATAATAAAACGTGGGAGCGGTGGAGTGATGAGGAGGTGTCGGCGCTTCTGGCGATTTACCTGGGACTTCGGGTGGCGATTTACTGCCACCCGAAGTCCCGGAGTCAGGGGGGCTCCGGGACTTCGGGTGGCAGTATACGCCGTGAAGTTGTTTGCTGCCTGCCAGTAAACGCAAAGCAGAACAAGAAGAAGTAACGTCAGCGGCTTCATTTGCGTAATCCTCCCTCAGGGACTTATTCCGGTCTGAAGGCGATTTACTAGGACAGTTCCGGGGCTAAAGAGTTCGGCGGGACTAAGTACTGGGAACTAAGTACGGGGTCATCCGCGGGCCATGCCCCCCCAAATGAGTCACTGTGCCGACCCAACGCAGGGCGGGCAAGCCTTGCCACTTTGCCGTTTTTTTTTTAATCATATAAGTGAAAACGTTTCCACTAAAGGGAACCAATCTGACAACAAAGACCTGACACAGACGGGCCCGACTGTTGCGTTGCCTTGCGTCTCTGCGTTTTGGTCGCACTGGAACACACCGCAAAGACTTCAGCCGACGGCCAAGAAGCACGTACGAACTGCGTATGCGTGAGTGGCAATAACTCTCCTTACCAGCAGGCGGCGGTAGTGTGTATTCGTCATTCAAAAGAGGCAACAACCGGAAGACAGACTGCGTGATAACCGAGAGAAAAAGAACAGACTGCGTGATATAAACAAACAACAAATAGCGTGTGCGTTCCATTTTCACTCTACAACGAGAAGCTTATGGGGCTTTCCCGAACCTGTGTCAAGAGCTGGAGTTAAATTAAATCTCAGATTTTGCCTTCTTAATAGTTTGTTTGGGTCCCTCACTTCCGTTTCGCTTCTCATGCACTGATTCGCTAGCTGAACAGCCAATCAGTGTGATTTATTTCGCCGACTGCCCGCCGATTCAACATGCCAGACTGCCAGACGGTTTTCGGCCGAAAAGGCGTCGGGTCGGCTGAAAAGACCTGACGGTGTGGGACACACCAATCCGAGTAGGGCGTGTTGACACTCATCGTCGGCCTGACGCCCACCAACGCCGATAATCGGGTTGGTGTGTCCGTACCTTAAAAGTTGTTTTGTGTGAAATAAGTCAGAAATAAAGAATACAAATATAAAACACAACCTGAGGTGTGCTCACTGCTGCTCTCTGATTGGTGTGTTGCTTGACCAATGACCCCCGATCTTTGTTTTGTTATCATTACGTGGCTGAGTGTTTAGATGAAAGCCCAGTGGCGATCTGTTCATCTGTTATACTGATTATACAGTAAAGCCATCGAAAATAATATGATATACAGTACAGTACAAGTACTTCTTGGTCTCTCTGTTTCATTCAAGCTCGGCTCCGTGTGTGTGTGGTACGAGCGCATTTTGTGAGTGCGCGAGCGGTAACGTGGAATGTTGTTGTTAGCATTTGGTTAGCTAGCTATGCTAACGGATATAAAGAGCTGTTATATCACTCACAGGCTCCACCCTCTACTGGACTCTATGGGTACTACCTTAACCTGCGTGCATTCCCCAATTAAGACTTCTATAGACGTAGCCGGCCTAGGGCGGGCCTACCTGAATGCTCGCGCATCACACCGTATATAAGGAGGTCTCGCCTCCTGCCCATCATCCTTTTCTCTTCAGCAGCGGAAGTGTTTCCACGAGAAACTGAGACGTATCTGAAGTGAAAGTGAAAGAGAGAAAGTATGGAGCCAGTACTGCACCATAGGACCTGCCTGAAATGTCCGATTCTGCTTCATGTGTTTGGGGCCCGACCACGCGATGGACGGTATGGGCTCTACGCCGGCGTGCTCAGCCTGCCAGGTGATCCTGCGGCGCACAAGGGAGCATCGTGGGCAGCACTTCCTGGAGAAGTTAGCCTCGCAGGAGGAGTCGGAGGAGGTGGATCTCGACGTCGTGGACATGGGCGATTCGGGAAGCGAGGAGACATCGATCCGGTTCTCCCTGCCGTGGGGCCAGACCAGGTATAAGGTACTGCCCTCACTGAGCACAACCTTAGGCTGCTGTGCTCTCAGTGTTTTGTCTCCCTGTTCCTGCCTGTTGGCATCAGCTGATGTTATAGTGTTATAGTGCTTTTGCCTGTTTTATCTTATCTGCACGATGTTGATTATTCTCTCAGAACTAGCTAAATACATAGGTCTGGGGTAGAGATCTTCAGAATTGGTTTGGCAACAGCTGTGTCACCTCGTGGCGGCAGCTCATGTCTTTTGAATTCTCCGGCCGTAACTCCATAATAAACCATCAGTGTTTGCCATCAAAGTTCCAGCTCTCCCCGTGTCTCTCTGAGTCTCGTCTCCATTGCTTCAGAAGTTTCCATCACACTCACCACGCTGACCTATTGACCAAAGCATCAAGTAGTGCACATGGCACAAAATGAGTCTTCCTTCCAGTGCTGACACAGCAAGCAATAGTTGGCATATTCACATATTAACTAAACATGTACCACACAGAAACATACACTTTCCTTTTAAAGCCATTGTTGAAGGAATTGTGTGAGGGTGTTTATATTCATATGCATGTCCATCAGCGACGTGCAGTCAGGGGAGGCAGGGGAGGCAGAGCCTCACCTGTCATACTCCAATGTAACGGAAAAACAACTAAAGAAAAACTAAATAGTAATAATAATAAAATGTCTCCACTGATCTGTGTTGTAAATATGATTTATGTATGATTCCAATCGCTTTTTATAGTTATTTTGTGAGCACGCTCAAGCCAGTTACTGTGGGGTAAGGTGAGGCACAGATGAGATCTGCCTCACCTCAGATGCGTTACCCCACAGAAACTGTCTGGAAAGCAGGCCCTAAGCGCATGCCTGCACCATCTCACTGTATGTCACCAATGTAATGTTTGTAGATCCCTTTATTACATTTACCCTCGCCATCCATAGTCTCTAAATAACTTATTTCATGTATATATGATATTTAGGCTCGCTGGTCTCATCATACAACGGCAATGAAAAAAGCACCAGGGGAGGCAGCCATAACCTCTGCCGCACTGAAGGGGGCGCACGTGAGCCCACAGGTTCTTGTTGCTACTGTTATTCTACACAGAGAAGGTACACGCAAACAACAAACTAGACTTTTGAAACTAGAGGAAGATAAGGAGGACTTTTACAAAAATGTAATGGAGATTGTTATCCAGAAGGATAGCATGGACTTCATCTTCAAGTCAAGGTAAGACCCCAATTGTAATGAAAATGGGATCTTACTAAGAAAGAACAATCCAATATTTAGATTTTGGGTATCCTTTTGTTGAAAGGTCTGTTTAAAATGAATCGAAGCATCAGACTAAAAAATGCTTTTGAAAATAACCGAATATTTCGATTATGGTCAAAATATGATATTTGTAAATCTGACTCTGAAAGAGTCAGTGCCTCACCAGCCATGAACCTCACCGCACGTCACTGATGTCCATGCTCCTTTTTTAACAAGAACGAACATTAGGAATAATATTTACAAAGTATTTTTTATTTTACAGAAACCTAGGTAATCATATGTTTTGGACGTTCTACTTACTTTGTGTATTAACCACCCCCAGAACCCACATTACACCACACAGCACTGGCTTTTGGTAATTTCTTTGCACTCTTCTAACCACTTTGAAGTAATTCAAATGTGCTGGAGTACATTGGAGAGAAACAGTTGAAGTGCATCATTGACCAAATATTTTATCATTCAGATAGCGAGAGTGAAAGGCTCTTTGCACGTGTAACAGTTTATTGTTTATCTTTGTCTTGTTTGTAATGGAAATGCATGGGATGAATAAACTGTATTTTAGATGTTCACACTGGTCCATTTAGTGTATCATCCTTTAGTGTATGTGTCTATGCATCCTGGTGTCGTAAAAATGACATTCCCATACAAATTCAGACTTTTTGAAGTAGCCTACCATAGAAACATTTCTTATCAATGTTTGAAGGACATTGAGATGGATAGGTTGGTCAGACTTTCCAAGAGACAGGTGTTTGGTCCCATATGAAACAAAAAGTCAATGCTGTGTTGCCTAGACAACAATATAGATGTAACGTGCTCTAAGCATGGTAAGCTTCACCATGTCGGAGCTGTGTGGAGGCAATGCCTCACTCAGAGATATGCTCTGATATATATGACAACCTCTACTAAAGGGTTTCTAATGGCTTGGTTTTAATCTCATAGAAAATATTTCTAATAATGTTTTCCACAAAATAAAATTGAAAATGCAATTAAAGTGTATGAGAATATAGTGGACAGGGTTAAAGAGGTACAGTATGTGTCCCATTTCAATGCTTAGATGGCCAGTATGCAAAATAATGTTGAATAAAATAAGTCATCAAGTCATTATTATCATAACTCACTAATTATTATCATTATTCATCTCAATTTCCTAAAAAGGTATTTTCATGTAAGGCTATCATTATATAAAGAGGTTGAAAATAGCAAACAATGAAAAAACCGGATTATTTACTTCTAGTTACTTTTCATTCTTAATTGTATTGATTGCAGAAAAC